ATGGTGATATTCTAAACAATTTGGCAGAAATGAAAAATGTACACCGACATGTCTGTAACATTCTCCTGATATGCTAAGAACTGCTGTTAAGAATGCAGTAACAGGATTTAACTTGCTCTCGGAAAATGCTGGACGCTACATTGAACATGCTTTGTAACACATTTCGGAAACTATTAAACACATTTTAAACAGATGTTTTCATGTCTTATTTCATTTACCAATATTGTATACGGCGCCATTTTTCCACTTTTTTTTGCCGCGGAAAATTAATTTCCATAACCTCCTTTACACGATTCTCAAGTTTGATAACATTTGGTCCAGTAGTTTTCCTTTTATGACCATTTCAAATTGGAACTTTAATTATAACCACCATGTAAATTAAACTTTAAAAGTCTGACAGTTTGGTTCAAGTCCCAGCTTTTAAAATATATATATTTAAATATAATATTTTATATTAATCCTCTTAGAAAGAATGTTTTAAGAAGCTAATTTTCTCTCACGTAATAGATTGTATAAAAAAAAACATGATCTTTAATATGATTTAGACTGTTTCAGCCAATATAAGAGAACGGGTTACTCGGTGGTACAGAATAAGCCCTGCTGGACTTTTATTTCTTTGTCATTTAGCAAAAATCTTTTAATTAAAATTTTATGCTTTGGACTTTGCTTCTATACTTTGTATTTATAGTTAAAATGTCTAGAAAATGAAAAGCTGTCTTCAGCTGAAACGCAGTTGATGCAATTGATATTTTTAAAAAATTGACAAGAATGCAAAATTTTATGGAAGTCTAGGAATCGAAAAATCTTAATTTTTTTGTGTGAGCACTGAAAATAACTGTAGAAGGAAAGAAGAAAATTAGGGAGAAAAGTAAGCAAAAAAATTTGCAGGGAAATTTGGCTGTCAGACATACCAAGATGTTTCAAAAAGTTGGACGCTTTTGAATATACCTTCAGGATACTTCAAAGAATTAAGGTGTTCAAAGAGAAAACACTTGGACGTGTACACCACCACCACCAAATACTATCAATTGAGCTTGTGTTAACAGAAAAGACAAAAACGATATCATTACAGATTAAAGTGAAGAGCGACTGGTTGTAGACTATATGGTTGTATAAATTTAAATTACGTTATAGAACATGTCGTATCATAAATGGAGAATCCCATGATTTTTTCAGTCGAATTATTTGAAGATTCAGGAGTTTAACCAGTGATGTATGTGGATGTCACCTAAAGAAGCGGCTGAGCGGTAAATCGCTGAACACTGGTAGTTTGGTCCGAGGTTCGAATCCCGCGAACGGGCTGTCTGCATGGGCGTTTTTGTGGTTTTCCCCATATGTAACGTGTATGCGAGCCATTTTCCCTTAGAAAGTCCTCCACGAAGGCATCCCTTCCCTTAGGCAGATAGCCCTATTGTGCTCTGTCATAATAAAATAAACCAAAACCTCTTGATGAAACCAGACTTTCCTTTCATCTCAATACCTTCAAAAATGTTTAGCCTCTAAAGACTGATAAAGGCTCTGACCAAATACTTCGTGAATGAACTTTCTAAGAGAAACCAGCTGGCATACACGGTACACATGACGAAAATCCACGAAAACGCCCATGCAACCAGCCCGTTTACCGGGATTCGAACCCCGAGTGTTCAACGATTGCCGGTTCAACTGGTAGAAACTCGGCCGAGTGCCGAGTGTTCACCAGTGTTCAACGATTCTCTACCGCTCGGCCGTTTGTGGGCCTTTATGAAATGGAAGGCGATAACTTTATTTAAAATGATTGTCAGAAATACCAAGATTATTTCGAAAAGTTGGATACTTTTTAATATACTTGCAGAATGCCTAAAGAAAAAGAGCAAGAATAAAGTAGAATGCCTGAAGAAAAAGAAAAGAAAAAATAAATCTTTGCATAAAATTTAATATTTCTACTTTTTTTTTAAATTTAAAACTTTTTAATCTTATGATATTTGATTCTCTTGCGATTTCAAAAATAAAATATTTGACTAAAATATGAATAACATTTTAAGAAACCAAATGTAGGATAAAACTGTGTAAAGCAATGGGCACAATGATTAAACTGTTTAAAGCAGTGTATGCAAGTCATCCTATGTTAAAATGTCCATATACATCTCTCTTATTTATATATTTCTTTTCTGAACGGAACATTGAAAAGCGTGTTAACTGTGCTTTACTGTAATTTCTCTTTTAATATATGCAGTTTTCAAATGCATCATAGTCTGGGTTACAAAATATTCTTCGGAAAGAAACGCAATTCAAATAAATAAAATCAAATTCTGGAAAATTTATATTAATAAATATATTTAAAATGCTCAGTTCGAAGGAATAAATAGAAAATTTTAAAACAATTCTCTGAAGAGGCAATGCAACACAAACAATTAAAATAAAAGTATAAAAATTTAAAAATTTCCTAAAATAATAACTATGACAAATAAATATATATAAAGAAAACTATTTGAAAAAAAAAATAAATAAATAAACGCTGCACCATTATTGACACAGTTTGAATAGGTAAATAGAAATTTTTAAAACAGTTATTCGAAGAAAAAAATGCAACTTAAACAATTAAAATGAAATTCGAAAAAGAAAAAGTTACTTAAAATAATAACAGTTATAATAAAAAATATATAAGGAATATTATTTGGAAAAAAGAATGATGGTGACTTTTTTTCCTCTCACGGGAAAGGAAACAAGGTTGCCATATATTAAGACGTTCGCCAAGTGAACTATTCTTGGCACAAACTGAACAAAAAGTGCCAACATAAATTTGTGAATTTCTCTGTAAATTTCGCTCTAAATTTTACAAAATTTCATATTTAGGCGTAATTTGAGTCATAGAATCGAAATATGTAAAAAAATTGGTATGTTATTTCAGAAAAAGTCCGATTTTGTGTCAAAATACCTATGTTAGAATAGTGCTATATATAAATCTAATATATATCCTAAGTCGCGCTTTCGAGACATGAAGAACGCAATTTGAATTTTGTCAATCGGCCCAGTAGAACGGGAGATATAGCACTGTCCCATTTTTTTTTTTTTTTTTTTTTTTTTTTTTTTTTTTTTTTTTTTTTTTTTTGAGCAGTGTACATTTTTTGTGTATGGATAATATCAATAAGTGTACATGAAACCATATAAGTGCATATGTTATCATCAGAACATTAAAGAATAGTTTCAAACATGTAAATAAAATATTCAAAGTATAAATAACATACATAAAATAATGTATAAATAATGTAAATATGATACGTGTGTGTGTAACATACATAGATGTAACTAAAGTGTACATACTGCAAATATGTTTTTGGAACTCTTTTATTCTTATAAAAACTTTTCTTTTCTAACAAGGTACGTAACTCACCTCTGAGAATAGCTTCTCTTCGCTTGATCTTTATTAACGTCTATGAAATACCTGTGCAGCATGATGGAGGTGAAGAAGATGAAGATGATTTACTGCACAGGTTAATGAGAGCCTTACTGCTCCTCAGATGACGCCTCATCATTATGTGCTAGAGGCACTGGATCGTCATGGGCAGCTTTGGATAGAGCTGGGATAGCTGCAGGAGGCGGCAGCGGAAGTTTTCGGCGCACAAGGAACATCGTGATGGGGAGTTGTGACCACTATTTTTTCTTCTGAGCAAAGATACCCTTGTACAATGCCATTAGACCGTCAATATGGTTTCTGAATTCTACGGATCTGACCGTGTTATCGTCGATTTCTAGAGCCCTTTGCTGCAGAGTCCATGCTATATTGCAGAGCTCTTCTATGTTTTCCAAAATAAAGTCACGTTCTTCAGCTTCATTGTCATTACTGCCATCAGCTACCTCCTCTTCTTCCTCACTTGCTGATCTTATCGTTTTGATGAGTTCCTCACCGGTCGGGGGTTCGAGTGGCACTCGATCAGTATGTTCACTTCTTCCATCGTCATGCTGGAGAACCCTTCAGTGGCTACCAACCAAGCCAGCCTCACAGCCTTATCTACGGCGGAGTGGTGAACTTCATCAGGCATAAATCCCTCATAGTCATGGGTGACATCAGACCCCTCATAGCCAGCCAGTCAGAGACATGGATTTTGATTTGTGTGGGCACTCCCTGACTTTTGCTGGCATGTGGGCAACTTTCTTGCCCTAATTCCTCAATTTTGAATTTTTTATTAATATTTTTGAACAATCCACGATGTACTGAGGCCACGATAAATTAACCGCGAAGTAGCAAGGGATGACTGTATATTAAAATACAGTACAAAATCCAAAATCCAATATCCAGACCACCAGATCATCAGGCAATGAATAAATAAAATATTATAAAATAATTTTAAAAAATTTCTTCTTGTAAAATATAAGTATGGAGAATATAATATTCAACAGAAAGAGGAAAGTATGCCATAAATGTGATTTTTCACCCAATTAATTGAGATTTCCCACATGTCACTTTTAAACACTTTGCTGAGTACGAAGACACAGTGTATCCAATAATAATACATTGATTGATGTTGGCCAGAACTATATTTCTAGCCTTTGAGTGGTTGTGGAAGGCACGGCATTTTGCTACCCAATGCAATATCTGCAGGTTCTAAATTCTGCTGCCCGGTATGTCCCTCAATTCTAAAACATTGCACCCCCTCCTAAATTCTAAAAATTTTGCTGCTCAGCACTCCTCTAAATTCTGAAAATTTTGCCAACTCTAAATTCTGTAGCACTAGCCCTGCTGGGAACTAACATTCTTCTATTTGACCTAAACAGTAAGCAAAACTTCATTCTCTCAATTTTATCTTTCTAAATTTAAAATGATGATTTAAAACCAGGAAATTTCTGGAATCAACAGTCTAAAAAATTCCAGATATCAGACTTTGTACTGTAATAAAGAACTGCAATTTTGATATGAATAGATGAATACAAATATACCTATTATGCATCTGTGAATATAAAATTTGTAAACTCTGTGATAAATATAACCAATTTTTAAGAAGAATTGAATAATTTTAAATTACCTCATAAACTAAATGTAGAGCAAAAAGGACATGAGCCATATATGGAAAAAGTATTGTTGATGTATTAAATGTGCTGATGTCTGAAGAGATTAGATTGTGCTTACTAGAATCACATGCTAGCCTTAATTCACAATATTGCTCGTGCAAATTTGTAGCTAATAAATATGACCAATCCTAAAAAAGAAAAAAAAGAAATCAGTTATTAAAAAGGATTAACACTTTTGCTGCTGAGCATGCAGAGGCATGTGATGTGGTATTATCATCTAATAGCTAATCACGCATTAGCACATGGTAAGGTATATATTAACAACTCTTTGTTTTCCTGTTAGATGACTTCTGGTGAATTTTCATAAACCTACTCTGGCAGCAAATGTGTTAAAATGGTCTTAATGTTTCTTAATTTAGAGAAATTGCATATAATTTTTTTTAGCGTAATATGGAAAAAATATACTGAACATGTATATATTTATCAGTGAAATATAAAAGCATGCAGAAATATTTTAAGTATATATGAAAGCAATATCTTTTTAATTTCAAATAGCATTTGTTTAAAGTTTTAATATAAGTATTATGATACGCTAACATTGTAAGTCATTTTATTTCATTTAAATTCTTTTCAATTTCAAAATCATTTATAATTTTTTTTTTTTTTTTTCAAACTTGAATAAAACAAATTAAAAGAAATCACAATCATTACAGATACAATATAAAATGAATTAACCAAAACAAGAAAAGGACAGACTGGCAAATATCCCTGCCATACTGACAGAGATGGGAACTTTTGCCTTCATCTTTTTTTTTTGGTTCAACAAACACACACACACAAAAAAAAAAAAAAAAAAAAAAAAAAACTTGTATTTGAAAATCAAAAATGATCTTAAAATGAATAGTGTATCTGATTATAAACAACTAATAAAACTAATATATCAATTCTGATAGATATGATTTATAAAAATAATACAACAACATTTACAGTCTCTAACATCCTGATCAGATATAATCCACTATCATGAAATATTTTAACCTAGTAATTACAAACTGACATAGATCTAGCATTTGCAGCACATTTGCATTTTTGACAGCCAAAAATGTAAAATTGCTCATAAGCAAATTTCCCAGAACATTACATTGAATTTCAGATGTCTTTAACAGGGAATTTAAGTGTTCATTTCTCAACAGAACACTTGCAAATACAATAATCATAATTACTTAATTAGCTTAGATTAATAAAACATATTGAGCACCTAATCATTCAAGGAAAATGGACTAAAATATACGATCAGATTTACATGTAACATTAGAATAGGAAATTTTCTTCGAGGTTTGGATCAGATATTTTTTATTACAGCTGCGTACATTAGAGCTATCTGCCTACAATAAAGAATGTCTTTGATGGACTTTCCTTATAAATTCTTTTAACCTTTTGATAGTCATTAACAAGCTTAGCTCACATTCCAGTTATGTACCATAGTGGGCACAAACAAACACAGATCACATTACAAATTTTTGCCTAAATGGTATTGAATGAGTCCCACTCGTGAATTAAGATGTTTTGCCCTAAAGTGCATACATGAAGTGGATTCATTCTTCAATATAATCCAAAGGTTTTTTATCATCATCAACAAAACGAAATTGTAAATTAGTTCATTTTACTTGATATAAATGGCAGAAAATCTCATGTAGATAATTTCTTGCATAACACATATAAATATGACATTTTTTTCAGGAATTTTTATTGTTATATTTTGGTTGTGTTATAGCTAGAAATGGCATCAAAGAGAATGCTAAAGCACATTTTTTGAACGTGGAATCTGATTTTGAAAATGAAACTATTTTATCAGATAATAAAAATCACTCGGATTTGGGTACAGATATTTGTTTTGACAGTTCGAAAAATTATTTTACGAGTGGAACTTGTTGCATTGTGTACCATTTCATGTTTCAAAGTCTACCACATATAAAAATGTTTCAAAAGTGTTTTTAAGTTAATAAATATAAATATATTAATTTTTTAATTATTTAATTAACTTATATATTAATTATGTTATATGTTTTAAAAATTAAACATCTAACATGTCTTGTTAGGTTTACAAAATTATGTACTAAAACAGTATTATATTGACAGATTTATAGCACTGAAAATATGTTGGCAAATAACAAAGTAGTTCATTTTACTTGATATAAATGGCAGAAAATCTCATGTAGATAATTTCTTGCATAACACATATAAATATGACATTTTTTTCAGGAATTTTTATTGTTATATTTTGGTTGTGTTATAGCTAGAAATGGCATCAAAGAGAATGCTAAAGCACATTTTTTGAACGTGTGGAATCTGATTTTGAAAATGAAAACTATTTTATCAGATAATAAAAATCACTCGGATTTGGGTACAGATATTTGTTTTGACAGTTCGAAAATTATTTTACGAGTGGAAACTTGTTGCATTGTGTACCATTCCATGTTTCAAAGTCTACCACATATAAAAATGTTTCAAAAGTGTTTTTAAGTTAATAAATATAAATATATTAATTTTTTAATTATTTAATTAACTTTATAATTAATTATGTTATATGTTTTAAAAATTAAACATCTAACATGTCTTGTTAGGTTTACAAAATTATGTACTAAAACAGTATTATATTGACAGATTTATAGCACTGAAAATATGTTGGCAAATAACAAAGTATTATTTATTACAGTATAATGTTGATATTTTCTTAAAAACTAGTGCAAAATAATAACTTTCTATGAAGAAGCATGCATATTTTCCCTTTCAAAAAGGTCTTTATTTTCCACACTCAGAGCTAGTGACATTTAACAAAGCATCCAGAGAGAAACAAGTGCCATCTGTTCCCATTACAGCTGACAGATATCAGGTGCATTTGGAAAAAATAATTGCTTAATCTCACAACTGCTGAAGGGTTAAGAAGAAACAAAGTAAATCCTTCATGAGATTTTTGCATACTTGATGATACACAAATATTTCTGAATTTAATTATTATATTTTTATTTTAAATACTTAATGCCTTTTTTCTTTAATTTTAAACTAGTATTTTTGCTAAATTTTCCAAATTTTATTTCACCTGAAAATATCATCCAAATGAAATATCACAAAATGCACATTTTCAATTCTGACCTCTATTTTGAAAAATTATAATACAAATACTCAAACATTTTAATAATATAGAAAATAGTGAATAATAGTAAAATAATGAATAACTAATATATACATATTTAAGAATAATTTTTTTATAATTGTTCAAATAAATTAATGTAATAGTTTAGATAAAATGCAATACATACATCATCACAGCCTTTCTCATGAATTTTTTGCTTCTTTATTTGTGCTGGAACTAAGGAAACCTGCTTTAAAAAATTCCAGAGGGAAACTTTCTCTGTGTCAAATCCCAATGCACCAAGTAAACATAATAAGAAAGCATTTAACTCTGATTCAGTATTCATGTCACTAGGACCAGGAGCATTTCTGCATGAATACCATTTGACAAACACATTTGTATACACATCTCTTGGCAAAATATGTTTAAGAGCCTCTAAGCATTTCATAACTGTAAAAGAATATTAAATTAATGAGAAGATTTTAAAATCATTATACTTATATTAATGAGCATAGTGTAATTCTATAACTCTTTTTAAAATAGTATTATGTAACAGATGTTCTTTAACCTATATCCCACAATTTTCTGCAGGGGGAAACTTCAAATACATTTTGCTACATTTATTTGCTCTATGGTAGCAGCATATTAATGACATTTTATTCAATGTAATTAATTAATTTGTGCAATCTCATGTTACTTGCATTTTTAGCCCAAAGGGCGATTTCCCATAAGGGCTATTAATTTTTGTTTTGGCATTTTGCAACTGTTAACTATAAATATTGGTTCACTTTTCAGATTGTTGCTATAAAATATTAGAACACTGCATTATATTTAAAGAAATTAAATAATGAAGAATCTGCATTAATGTATGTATGTTTCTTGCACTGTGAAAAAAACAATGGCATCTACAGCCATATCAAATTTAGAATAACGTAGTCCTCCATTCAAATGTGGATATACGGAAGCCCAAATTTGGAATCTGGAATTTGAATTATGATCTATTTCAGCGATTCTCAACCGGTGATATGCAAGAGAAAAATAGGTGGTATACAAAGAAAAAGTATTTTTAACTATTAAATTCAAAAATTTCATTAAGAAAAAGAACAATTGATAGAAATTTCCTGTGATTGAATTTTTAAGTGAAGTTTTAAAAATAGCAAACTCGCTAACGTTCGGCAGAACCGAAAAAAAGAATTTAAAGGCATTTAAAAAAAAATCTATTAAATTTTTATTGCCTTGTTATTTTGTACAGCTTATTGTGTGAACAAAGATTTTCTTCCATGTTATACTTTAAACATAATACAGAACAAAATTAAAAGTAGATCCTAATTTGGTTAAAACTAAATGAAATAAGACAAGACAAAGAACTTGATATCTCTTAAACAGGCCCAAATTTTGCACTAAATTTATAATCAAAGTATTATAACTTATATTCTGATAATTATAATGTTAACCAATTTTCAATCTAATATTTTTTATGTGTGTACATTTAATACAAATAGCCAATAGGTTGTGAAAATGGCAAAATACATTTTTTTTTAAATATTTCTATTGAGAAACTTAAAAATAATGATTGTAAAATGTAGTGGTGGTACAAAAGTTTTTCAGTTTTTTTAGATGGTACGTATTAGTCAAAGGGTTGAGAACCGCTGATTTATTTCATATTTTGTCAAACATTAAAGACATTTTCATTAACTAACTCGATCATTTCAAAGCGAACAATGGTAACACTGTACAGGAAAAAGAAAAAAAAAAAAAAATATCTCCAGCAGAGACAATAGGTTGTGAAAATGGCAAAATACATTTTTTTTTAAAAAATATTTCTATTGAGAAACTTAAAAATAATGATTGTAAAATGTAGTGGTGGTACAAAAGTTTTTCAGTTTTTTTAGATGGTACGTGTTAGTCAAAAGGTTGAGAACCGCTGATTTATTTCATATTTTGTCAAACATTAAAGACATTTTCATTAACAAACTCGATCATTTCAAAGCGAACAATGGTAACACTGTACAGGAAAAAAAAAAAAAAAATTATCTCCAGCAGAGACTGTGTATCGAAAATTCTAGAGATATTCTCTTTTTCAAATTATTTTCAGATACTGTTGTTGAACTGCATTAGATGGTGTAAGTGCAAAGAACATGATACTTAATAAGTAAAGGTAACACACAAAATGTTAAAAAACAATAATGTATATTCTTCCAATATCAATATTTACACACACACACACACATATATATAGTCAAAAGTCTTTAATCCAGACATCCAAAATCCAGAATGATCTATAACCCGGACCTCAAAGCTACAAACTTTCTGCGCATGCGTAAACGCATTAATGCGCTTACGGATGTCAAAAAGAGTTTCCGATTCTGAAGCTGCCAAAGGATCTACAAAGCGAAAGCATGTTTCAATGTCGATCAAACAAAAAGTGGAATTGCTGCAAAAAAATGGACAAAGGCATATCCTTTGTTTCTCTAACCATTCCGAAATATGTTTATCAATTTCATGCTACTCTGCGGGGGGGGGGGGGGGGGCGTCGCGGCACGCAATGAACTGAAAGCTGATCTGTCAGCACTATCCTTAACTTTAGGGCAGATGCTTTTATTTTATTCGACTTATAATTCCTTACTAAATTTAGTATTTCATCTCGATGTACTCCGTCTTTGATCTGATTTAAATCAAATTCCTCGTCATTATAAATATCACAAATACACATCAAATAGTTTTCTGGTTGCAATTTTCTAATTTCAACTATGCATAATGTATAATGTATGCTTTACGCATGCGCACGTTGAAAGAAATGTTTAATAAAGTAAACAAATAAATATTAAGCTTTTTTTTTTGTAAATTTTTATACCCTTAGGATCATAATTGCTCTTTATTGCATAAATTACGGTTTCATATTTTTAATTTTATAATTTCTGCATGCCATCTTACCAGATTTAAACTGATGATCTATTATCCGGAAAAACTGATAATCCGGAATCGCCGAAGTCCCGACGAGTCCGGATTAAAGACTTTTGACTGTATATGTATTATACAAGAGATAGGATAAATTTAAAATTATTATTAAGCAATGCAAATTAGACACAACATATTGTTAACGGAAACTAAAAGTATTGTTAAAAAATTTACCAGTTTTTGATACAGCTATTTCTGGTATTTGTAGTCGATACAAACCCATACATGTTTCCTAAATGACAAAAAGGTCCATCAGCAGGAAATTACATAAACATACATTATGCAAATAACAGAAGACTTTTACTTCAGTCTTTACTAATAATAAATCTGGAATTTGAATAACTATGCATCACACATTCAACTGACAATAAAATACATTTCAGTACGTATTTAAATAAATTAAAATGTAAGTAAATAAAATTTGATAAATAGAATAGTGAGCTAAACAACAATTTAAAGAATTTTTTTATCCCATTTTTAATTTATGCTCTGCATTTTAAATACACTGGCTTTCAAAAGTTGAGCATGCAATGCAAATTAGCAATTTTCAAAAGCATTTGAATTCGAGTCTCTGGAAATCAGTGTGGATGCAGATGGCAATATGCAAATATTGTTATAGCAAATCTCGATTGACTGTCCAAACATATGTTAGACTGCCATTAAAGACGCCAGCATTTTGAAGGGCATTAGAAGGTTTATTTAATTGTCAATACAAAGTGTTTATACCTTTTGAAGATTACACATGATATTTGTGCTACCTGAAAGAAGATTAATGGCAGATAGTTGGTGCTGGATTGTTGTCTGGCACATTAAAAAAGAAAAGTTTATCAAAAATGTTACTCTTTTCTTTTGTGTTGAATATTCAGTAATTTCTTGAATGTGGACACAATTGTTCAAAGACTGCTTTCTTGTCAACTAAGGGTTACTACTCCTTTCGACAATCCATATATTGCTACAACAGCCAAGAGAAATCAACAAGCCACTTCCACAACTGTTACATAAACAGCTGCAGTGCTATTTGGTAAGACAGTATCTGCCAGTACTGTGTACTGAAGGCTTCACATGAAGGGAATGTACACCCACGTACCAACTGTTTGTGCTCCACTTATTCCCCCTTTTTTTTTTTTTGACAGAAGGTTTTTTGACAGAAGGGCAAGATTTATGATACCTATGAGGTTCGGATGAAGCCCTACACCCCATTGTGAGAATTTACACTGCAGCAGTTGGTCCTGATTTCCTCTCTATGGATGATAATTCTGTCCTCATTCAGCTAACATCGTTAATGAGTACCTGGAAAGTGAGGGCATTCCTTGTATGGAATAGCCACCATATTCTCTCAACATTAAGTCCACTGAAAATCTTGAGGGTGCCCTCCCATTTACCTTCTCCAGCTGGTCTCAGCCAACTAGATACTGCCTTACTAGAGAAATGACCACTGCTTTAGTCTGCTACTATAAAATAGGCACTTGAAGGCTGTTACCATTCCCCCCCCCAATTTCAGATCATAACTTGTGACGTCATTACCACATAGCATTTATCTTGCCACAGCATTTGAGACTAGTTTAATTCAGCCTTCATTCATGTACTTTCCATGAAATGAAACCCACTAAATGAAAATTAAATAAGGCAAAAATCTAAGCAACCCACCCTTTTTTCACCATGGTTACCGATTAGATCAGATGGCCGATAATAAAAGTTCTTATTTTAAAGTAACAGACTATAGCATCTGCGATGGTTTATCACATTTTAATGAATGCATGGGCAATCTCTGTAAAGTTTTAATGTTAAATGACTTGAGAATGTATTAAATCTGTATAACATTAATAAACAATCCATTTGTATACATAGACATTACATACATACAATACTTTACAAAATTACATATTCTTCCTTTTTTGCAAACTGGACACTAGATGCCATTGTGATGTGGAACAGCTGTTTTCTTCCTGTGGTTAATCTTTTTTTTTTTTTCCTTCCTTTTTCTTTTTAATGATCTAAGATGTGAATTATTACATGATGAGTGAATGTCTCTAAAATTCCGAGTAAAATAATGTATCAAAGCCTCTTCAACTAACTGCTATTTTAGATAAGTTCAGAAGATTCAAGAGCCATGTAAGAAGCATTTTCTATTTATAGTTTGATTTAATTTATTGTATTGAATAGATATCATCCTTTAAATTCGTTAATATGAAAAAATATATATATATAAAGAGTATTTAACTAGTGACATGCAAATAATTGGTATTCATTTGGATGATTCATTGCAACTGAGAGTAGTTTCTTCAATCAGGAAATTTGTCAATATCGCATTTCCCCCCTCCCTATTTTGTGATATTTGATTGCTTCTCAAATTTTTTTTCAAGAAAAAGAACAGTATTTTGATACATAGTTTAAAGAAATTCACATCACTCATTCTGTAGGACACCATAATATTTAATAGTCATGCTAAATTGCTCATACAAAAACAATATATACATGCACTTGGCAATAAACTTAAATTAAAGGATTTTGAATCTTAGATTTTAGCTGTTGTAAAAGCAAATCATCATAACACAAGCCATCATAAGCTGAGAACTACTTGTATCTCTAGTAATGAATCTATAAAAATACACAAAAGCAAAAATCACTAAAAATGAATTAATGCTGCTCTTCTTAGTTTCAAGATTCTAACACTATTACAATTCTTTATAGAAAAAAAGACAGGTACACTAATTAATATATTGCTTTTAAGCATTTTTCATCTATGTTCTTGTTTATGGAATGTGAAACTGCAAATTACACTTTTACTCATTACTTGTACACTTAAAGTAAAGACATTAACTTACCAATGTAACACGATTTTTTACAACATCTCTTACACTTTTCACAGGACCAACATGAAAAAATAACATTTCATCATATAATACTGGTTTACTAAATGTTTCCTCTGTGATCATAGGAACAGGAGATAATACTTTGTTCTGAAATGAAAAATATTTTATAAATCTAATTCGACCAGGGTTCATAGCCACATTTTAGTTAAAAGAATAAGCACCTATAAGAACTTTTCAAGCACATTTTAAGAAAAAAAAAAGTAAGCACCTGTCTAATTACATTATACACAACTGCATAACCTTAAAAGAAAAATTAGACTTGCAATTTAAAATATGAGCAATGCAGTATTTATTAAGAGAATGAGCATTACCTCAACCATGGAAAACAACTTTTTTTTTTTTTTTTAATTTTAAATGACAGTTCAATTTACAGAATTAGTTTACAATGAGAGAAAAAAAAACTATGCAGAACTAAACTATATTACAAGGTTTAATGATGAAATTTCAGTTCAAAATATAGAAAATAAATAATAATAAGCCATATTAATTGTATTTGCTTGGCACCTAATAATAAATACAATTTATTTTTCCACTCATATTAATATTTAAATAATTCAAATCAAAATTCTGAACATTTTCTAAATTTTCATTGCATAACAGTTTTCCCTTAACATATATTCCAAGCAAAGTAATTTAAGTAAAAAAGAGGAACATTTCTGAAATCAGGAGAAGGGAAATTGCTTCATGCAGTCATCCTTAAACAGTAAAAGCTTAACTAACCTGCATACTCGGAAATTGCCGAATATTCCGTATAGTCGAGCGTAACTGGAAAAAGAGGAGGAGGGGGGGGGGAGATTGTAGCCGTTCTTTAGATTTCTCGGCTAAATAAATGATTTTGACATTTCGATATGTGCATCATATAAAAATAGACCAACGGAACTGAGAAATATTCTGCTTAGAAAGCACAGTAAAACTCTTTTAAGTGTTCATAAATAAATCTCAGACTGAACATCAAAATTAATTATCGCTGCAAAATATCGCATACATTATTGCGCAATACGTGCGGCGTAATTCTTCCATATGTGATATTACGCAATCGGAATTAACAGCAGCCGGTATTCGGAGAATAAAGAACTAAATAAAGAAAACACCCCTTTGAATGTGCCCAAGCATATTTAAAGAGACTTACTAATCATATTGATTAATGATTTACCAATCTGGGTGCTTTTGATTCTAATTTTGAACAGACTGCGTTAAATTTCCGGAATAGAATCATTCTTCACTTGGGTTGGGTAGACCGCAAAACTTTTAGTCCTATTCAATCCAGATTGGACAGTGACAAGAAAAAAAAAAAAAAAGTCCGCTGCTTCAATATTAGAGATTTTGCAGAGAAAGGGGAGAACCTCCCAACCTCCATACTGTATAATGTATTGGGGGAAAAAATTATTCTGACTATTCGATTACTTTACTTATTTAAGCCATTCCGAATATTATTCCTTAGAAAGCTAATCTGTGTAAAAATACACCAATTTAAGAAAGGGGGAAAAGCTATTTCCGGGAGTATGATTCACCATCTGACGTTCCATATAAGGAAGAAAAGTTGTTTATTTAGTTTCGGCTTTGGTACGGGAGGAAAAATGCGCGTTCATTAAAAAAAGCACTAAAAGCAAAAAATAAGCACTAAAAAAAAAAAAAAAAAAAAAAAAAAATGAGGGCTTTAAAGAAAAAGTAAGCACCTATAAGGGCCTTTATATTTTATTTTCAAATATAAGGACTTATAAGCACTTGTAAGGACGGCTACGAACCCTGTTGACAGTATTTAACATTTTAAAAAATTGATATATGAAAGGACAAACAAAAATCTAGAGAACTAAACTATTTATAAAAATAATTAACCTTCAGTTTAAATTATAATGTCTCTAGCACTAATGCAGAAATTTATTGTGGAAAAAATGTCAGCAATTATTTCCACAAATTTTGGCAATTTTCTGAGTCTTAGTGAATATAAAATTTTTTTGTAAATATCAAATATATCTATAAATGTCAAGTTACTTCCCAATATTCTTTAATTTTTATTTTAATTATTAGATTATTTTTACATTTAAATAACTTTAATACTGTTCTGATGGAACTTTCATGTTTTGAAAAATATACTGTCAAATAGTCAAACACCAGATTTTAAAAGGAAACTCTGAACTACGCCTCAGTTTTGCTTTATTTCCGAAATAAAAAAATTTAAAAAGTCTGATGCGATCACCACATGACTTCCTAGTATGGCCTATTAAATTATATGCATTTTTGCTGCATTTTGTCTATATCCTCTTTTTTTTTTCGAATTTCATTAGAAATATATTTTTTAATCGATTAATTCAGTTCTCACTTCGCGGTAAGGTAAAAAATACATAAAACCTCAAAACATCTACATTAAAAATTGAAAAATACAGAAAAACATAAAACACCAAATACAGTTAAAATGATAAAACATCACAGCATAAGAAAATTTGGTGTTAGCAAAATTCAAACCAGAAGTATTTGCAACCCCTCCCCCTGAAAAATGGAAAAACAATGTTGAAAGAATGGAATGAAAATGGAAATGAAAACTTTAAAAAAAAATTACAAGACAGTTGGTTTAGCTACTGTGAATGTAATGTACAAGAAATGTATAGCCAAACTGAAAATGTACTATAGATAGAACTGCAAATATATGCTACAAATGTTAAAATTTGTGCAAAATAGGAAAAAGCCATGAAAAACAAAATTTGCGTTGAAAAATGTAAAATTAAAAGAGTATTTAAAAGTAAAAAAATCACTTACTAGAACTTTATCAATGAAAAATGGAAGGCTGAAAGTATCTTCTTTCTTAATAGCAGCTTGGTACAGTTTGCGTATGCTTTTTTCAATTTAAGTCAATTTATAAATATTATTGTGTCCACATCAAATGCATAATTTTATAAATATATTTTCAAAACTTAGTTTAGCTTATAAGTAACAGTGACAACATTACCTTACTTTTATTTAAAATGTCTTCTTGTAACTCATAACATATGGTGATAAAAATGTTATATCCAATCATATTATGGTTTAGTGTTTGCCAATGAAAAATAAGTCTAAATTTAAAATATTGAACAACTTCCTTATGTAAAATACAATAAATTAAAGATTAAAGATGTTCCTCAAATAATTTTAGATCTTACTTCATCACCAAACTTTGTAGACGTTGCACTTGGAGGCCTAGTGGATGCAATAAAGCTTTCTCTCTTAGGAGTAGTATAACATATAGATGGAAAAGACACTGAAAATGATGAAACATCATTTGATGGAACAAAGATATCTGCCACATGAACTTTAGCAACCTATAATTTAAACATGGAAAAAGAAGAAATATCAATAAATTAAAAATATTCACACACTAGAAACTGACATTCAAGCAGAACAGCAAATACAGCTTTTACTTTTTCTTAGCAGAATAATGAAAGAAATATATTAAATATACAATACTAATTGCTAATTATTTATCACAATTATTAAAAGCACATAATTATTCTTTCATTCAAATAATGCAAATTAAAATTCTAAATATTCACCTTTTTCATATTTTTGATCAAAATAATACTTTTTGAATATATTTTTCTGACACTAAAAATTAGCGAATTATTGAATTTTATGAGTCTTTAGTTACTTCCTTATTATTACAGTCCTTTTCTAAAATGGCAAGTTGGTAGATTATCATCACGTTCGTGTTTATTTCTCACATACATTTTATAGCTCCCATCTTTCCCTTAATGCTATTAATATGACATCAGAAGATATTTCTCATTCTAAAGACTTTTGCAACATGAATTCTGCAAGGTAAGATTCGTGAAAATGGCGAGCTATGAATTGTTGAAATTTTTCCATGCCACTTAGCTGAATGCCACAGTCTTTCAATATTTGGTATATTAGTAGCTATTGTTTGATTAATGAAATGAAATTTATAGTAAAAGGTTTACCTGTTTCTTTCAGTTCCTCATAAAACTGATCCAGCCAATAACTGCACTTTGAAACAGCCCGAGTTGCTTCTACCTCCACTTAATTTTGATTAGTTCCTTCAGTAAATAAATCACTGCACTATTACAAATAGTATTCTGAAAACCACTGAGTTGTCAAAACATATGCTTTTCCTTCACTTACAAGTTTTCACATTGCACCTCTAAATACTTTCACTAATATGTAGTTTTATTTATTGCCATTTTCACATATTCAAACATGAGATAAAATGTATCTCTCTTAGAAGAAAACTGTAGCAGTTTTCGCTCTCAGTCTTGGTAAATCAAAACATTTTTAGCAGCATTTTGAAAAAAAAAAGAGAATACATTGACATGTAGAACATTCAGAATTCTAATCCTGGCAAGAAAATTATCAGTGACTATGGAATCATTACAATTTACATGAAAAAAGAGGAAATCATTAATATCATGTGGTTTACTTTGGATCACATCAATAACATGTGGTTTACTTTGGAGCTTTTCTCATTATGAGCAAACTATAAATGATTGTTGTAAGGAAAGTCAGTCATTTGGATATAGTTTGTAATGGCAATTTATCAATAATCTTGCTGCCATTTATAAAATAGAGGCCATAATAATAAGGAAATACTGGTTTATTATTCCTAAAAGTTAAAAAAATTACTAAAACATAAGACAAGCATGTATATAAAATATAAAAGATATCAGATATGAATTATTAGATACATTTACAATATATGTTATATAATATATCTACACATACAAAAGCACAATGTAATATAAATATACAAAGGGAAGTCATACATCCAGTACCTAAAGTGTGAAAATAAAAAAATATAGAAACCTTTTGAGGAGAGGTTTTAAGCATTTTACTATTACGTTCAATTTAAGACTAAACCTGAAATTATTATTACCTTAATCAGTCCAGTATATAATGATATAGTGCAATTAGTATCAACAGTAATAATAAGGTTCAAATCAGGAAGTGACTCTGCATCCAAAGCTGGAATACAACTTGAGGTTCCAAATATCCATCGATTGGTATCATTACTTTCTTCAAATTTAACCAACCTACAGAATATACATGATATAAGACTATTAAAACATAAATAACTACATACATTCAAATTATAAGTATAATGTTACTAAGATCTGGAAATTGCTGATCAGCTTAAAATCATTCTCATACAGATATTTTACTCAAAAATTTTTTACCCAAGTTCTCTTCACATAAAAAGTGTGATAATCTACCTGCTAAACAATGCAGTAGTTAAGTCAGAAGGTTGTATTCCTATTTTTTCAAGTACTTTGCAGTTAAGGAACTGTTTTAGAACTAGACAGAGAACTAACCTTTTTAAAATATAGTAGCAGATGATAAAAACACTGATAAATTTATGTCTGCATTGTAAATACTTCTGATGTTATTATATGATAAAAATTTAAGGCTGATAATAGATATTATACAGTTTTTAGTTTTTGTATCAAGAAATATTATATCTGAACATCAGCATACAGTTCAGTCTAAAGAGATTTTGATTGGTATTAGCACAGACAACTTTGTTTGATTTAAGTCTAATTTCATTAATGCTCAATAAAATAAATCAGTTTAAAGGGAAATTTTAAAACAAATTAGCAATCACTATCTTGAAAATTAAAGTTTTAAAACAGATAAGTGTCTATCTATAAAATTAAAATTTTTTCTAATGAATTCTTAATTCAAATTATTACAGTTTGCATAAATTAAAATTCATGAATTTAATTTTTATTAAATTGGCTTAACTTCAAAATAACTGCTGTACTCTAATCAATATTAAAAAATTTTCTGAAGCACAAAGATATAAATAATTTTGGGTAAAAATATTCATATTGATTATTTTTCTATAAGCATTTTACCTGGTGATATTTAATTCTCTCTGAAAACCTTGAAACACAGTATTTGTTTCTGAAATTAAATAATGGTGCTAATAATAAATTTTAAAGTATTATTTTCAAAATTTAAAATCTTTCCAAAGTGTTTTGCTTTGCATAAAACACAATTAACATGTTTAAAAAGCATTTTAATCAATGTTATATAAATTTTGAACTGTAAACATTTTGAAATACCTAATTAAATAGATATTCAATAATTCCCTTTCTTTTTAATTCTCACAAAACAGATGTCACTGAACTATGCATATGCTCATTATTATGACAAAGATTCTTACTGTATGAATAATTAAAAACACATTTAACACAGCAGGGATTTAAATATTCCTTAAATAAGAAATGATTTTTCTCATACAACTTAATCTTGGTTAAAAAATACATTATACTCTAAAAATGTGTTATTGATTATACTAATATACCATTCTAAGCACCAATACTTATATTGTATTATGCTTTAAAACCATATGTTATAACTGTTGGAACTAATAAATACGTAAATTCTCTATTAAGCATTTTTGATGCAGATCATAGTATAATTAGAATCCACTGTAAAAAGTAATAATGCAGAGGCAAATCAATCAAATCTTAAGTAACAAGACTACATATAAAATTAGCTATAAAATAAATTGAAATATCATTTTTACATATTTCCAATAAAACTGAATAATACAATTATTTAAAATAAAATAACTTACTGTAAGACAAATTGCTCTTTAAAGAAGTAACACAGGAAATTATGTCCTGTCATATCCACAGACAGAAATGCTTTTGATGCTTTTGTAGTATGTCCTGCACTGCACAAATAACATTAAAAATTATCATTTACTTATATACAGCAAATTAAAAGTTAAATATTGCAGTTTGAAAAAGAAATGTAACATGAAAAAAATAACATTTAAAAACTTCTTCACTAATGTTTAATTTTATCAATGATAAATTCTTTATATGAGGAAATTACAAGACCTTAATGCTTGCTCTTAAGATTTCTGTGAATACTGTTATACACAAATCATACATAATCAATTAAATTTTATTTAAAACTTATCAAAATAAAGTAGTAAAATATCCTTAAAAACATAATCTGGTATATGATACTATGTTAATTCCTTGCAAATGAGTAGTTATTAGCATCCTCAGAATAAAAAAATTACACTTGTTCATGCATTGCACAGAATAGCAGCTTTGTAACCCAGTACAGATTAAAAGCATCCTTTCTCTAATACACCTATTTGTTTACTTTCATACTTCTCTTTGATTGCTTTCATAAAATTAACACTTTACCGACCACTAGCGGTTCAACAGCATACGCACGTCCAACCGGCCGCTCAACCACAGATTCTTCGTGTTCTAAATAATTGTCAGGACAATCTGATAAATCGTCTAAATAAAACTCTCCAGTACCATTTTTTTTCATTCATCGTGAACGGTAATTTTTTTTTTTTTTTTAAACAGTGTGAAAATGTGGGAGTTTACGAAACAACGCACTTAACGCAAGTGAGCAATGTACCTCAATACTAATAATAAAATGCAGATGATATAGCAAATGGCAATTGTTTATCGCCATGGCTACCGATTGATAGGCTTTTTTAAGTAGCCCCGAGAAAAAAGCGATTAATAGGCTATCGGTCGATAGACGTTGGCGAAAAAAGCCAATTAATATACGATCGGTCGGTAGACACTGGTGATGAAAAGCCGATTAATAGGCAACCGGTCAGTAAAGTGTTAATATTACATTTCTTCTACATTTGCTTTCAGAAATTAATGTGCAGTACAAAAGCAAAAAAAATAAATAAAATCTTCAAAATATCACAGCATGTTGGATGATGCATTATGCAAATTTTAAATTCTTACACTTCTCTCCATAAACAGAAATATGTGAACTTGAGTAAAAAAACACATCCATATTCCACCCAGTTTGCTACTAATATTCTTCTTTAATGATATTTTTAGGCAATTCCTATGGCACATAATATTTTTAAAAATCTACAAGAAAATTTATCTCATCTTATTTATCTGATTCTACATAAAAACTACTACATTACATGACAAAAATTATCCAGACATCTTGATATATTAGCAGTTCTTTTGAAACTAAATCAGAAATTAATATGTTGGATATATACAGAGTTAATAATTCATCAATGGCATGCGTCCATTTTTTCCCTATAATTACAGCTGCCAATCTATCAGGAAGCTTATTTACAAATTTTTATAATACTGTAATTGTAATAATGTCATTCATGCAAAAGATCAGTGGTGAATTCTACCATTAAAATGGGATGGTATATCCTGGTTCACAGCCAATATTCTCATTCATCCAATGAGTACTTCATAGGGCTGAAGTCCAACATCTCAACAAATTGGTTATGTACAGCATAGCATCTCTGGACAGGAGCATGATCATCATGAAACAGAATCATACCATATGCGAGACAGTGCAAGCCAAATGTGAGCAGCACAGAATTGTTTAAAATATTAAGATCTGTATTCGTAGTTTTGTCTCATAAGAATCCAGTGGGTAGGTTTTAAAATGCAAGAAACTGCTCTAAACTTTACTTTGAGTGTTTTGAAGTTGGATAAATACCATTCTTCTGTCATTCTTCATACATTCATTTGATTGCAAGATACTGTAGCAAAACTCCCTCCATTATTTTGCCTTGTTCAAGGTTCCTATGTTTCTAAATTTTAACCGATGAAAGCAATAATTGGTACTGATCTCAGCAAACTGCCAGTGTACCAGTGTTACATCCAGAAACATCTTGGATACAATGTGAATGTTTTCTGTTAATTCAACGTGATTCTGCTTACAAATTTCTTCAGAACTCTCCAATCTTTATATGACAGACAGCATATTTGACCAAAGCACAGTTGCATAGTATGGTTCTTGCTCATTTCCCCTCAGTACAACATGGTAAAATGTAGAATTTATAATATTGCAGAAATTTTATTTACAAATTTTTCATATTGGTAACCACTAATGATTCACCATAATTTAGTTCTGATTTTCCTCCAATTTTGCATTTTTCACTTTGAAAAACCACATAGTGAGCTTGACAGTCTCCTTTAAAAGTCAAACTGAGCTCATACTGAGATATAAATGGAAAATGTGTTACTTCCTAGAGTGCCAAGATATTTTTGAAAATATAGTGCATTACCTGATAAACTGCAGTTGCCAAACTCTTCACCATTTCTCTTACTTTATAAATTTAACATTTTAAAAATAACCTGTTGAAATATGTTATTTTTCCAGTATCAGTCCAAAATTATCAAAACTTCAACACCTTATTTAAATACATTCTTTTTTGGAGAAAAAAGCACCCTTCAAAAATAATCCATTCATCTTCAAAATTTGTATGCAAGTTCCTTCATACTACATATCTAAATGATAACATCTTTAAGGCCAATGAGTGTTAACTTCGGTCATAGCATGTGTTTCTACTGCACAACTAACATCACAAAAAAAAAAAAGATAAGCATTGCAAATAGTTATCTTTTCTTGTTGCTGCTACTGCAGTTCCCTGGAGACACAATCAATAATACCTTTATGATAATGTCAAAGACTTTCTTAACAACTGGAAGACTTCATACATGATTACAGAGTAGGAATGCATGAAATGGGCTGGCCATACCGAGCAACAAGACACATCTGCACCATATGCAAAAGTGCTTGCAACAATGATTGCTGCAAGGTACTCTTCAAGGAATCAAGGCTGTGAAAAGAAAAGGTGCATGAATGCAAAACAAGATCGGATGATTGTGCAACCAGCCAAAACTGCCCTAATGTCATCATTGTCCACTATCCAATGTGCTACAGCTTTTTTCATACCATCCATGGAACCTTCCATCATCTCACGGCCAAGATCGGGTTGTGCTCACAATGGTCTTTAAGACAACTGCCTTTGGAATGGTGTTATAGCCAATGATGATGGCTGCCAGCCGATTAGCATCACATTATGTTCAGCAATGAATAATGCTTCAATTTTGGAGAGATGACCATCGGGTCTAAGTAAGAGGAGCCAGGCCAGTGATTCCAATCAGCCTTTGTTGTGCAAAGGCACACAGCCACCGGTGTGATAGTGTGGGTTGCTATCTTTTATGATAGCAGGTCGACCCTAAATCATCACATATACAACTTTAACAGCTCAACAATATGTTGATGATATCCTGTGGTAATTTGCATTACCCTTTATGGCACAAAATCTTGGAGCCATTTTCCAACAGGATAATGCTAGAGCCCATACAGCTTGCATATCTCTAGACTGTCTTTAGGCTGCTGATACTCTTCCTTGGCCAGCAAGATCACCAGATCTTTCGTCAATCAAACATGCATCAGATATGATAGACTGCCATATTCAGGCACCCCAAAATGTTGCAGTTCTGGAGCAACAACTGGGGAATGCCTGGAGATTGTAGGATGAGATTAAAAATCTTTATCATTCCTTACCTCAATCTTTACATGCAAGCATCACTGCCAGGGAGATTTTCACCAGTTACTGATTTGAATATTCCATTTGATAGGTTCTATAACCTTGAACTTTCAAAAATTTCATTATCTGAATATTGAGCTTTATTTTTAAAAAAAAATCACTTTCTTTATGGTCCCCTTCCCCCCATATGAACGTATAACTGTTTAAAAGTTAGAGATCTTAATATCTAAAATGAACAGATTAAAATTTTTTAAACAATAGTTGCTTTAATAGAACACACGACCTAATTAAACAAGTAATTACATAGCCCATTAATTATTTACCTGTGACTTTCAGACCATTCATGATCAAAACAAATGTCAGGAGCTAGTGGTTCCATAAATTTACAAGTATTATTATTTGTCATAGGAGAAAGTGGGCTTCTATGACTTATGGCACTAAGTGGTGTGAAATTCTGAGAATGAGAGGCACTACTGTTGCATGATGGGGGATGGGAACGGCTAGAAAAAAATTTAAGATTAAACAAAATTTGGATATTTTTGTTGATGTACATTACAACACATTTAATATCATTGAAATATCATTTAAAGCAGAGACCAAAAAGTAATAAGATTAGAAAATGATATTTAAAAAAGAAAAAAAAACTATTTACTATGCTGAAAAATCTGTCAAAAATTACATATTTATTGATTTCATTATTCTGTTGTTTTTCAGATGAAAAGTATTCTTTTTTAATGAAAAATTTTAATCAGTACCAAATTTTGAATCTTTAACAAATATGACTTGCTTCACCTTTCTCAACACCCTTCCAAAAATTATTCTGATAAAATCCCATATTATTATATTATTCACATAAATTATTCCTAATTAATTATTTAAAAAAGTTACTATTATAAATGAATGATATGTTTTTAGGTAGACACCCTATTTATTCTATAAAGTAAAATAAAATCCATTTCAAAATGTAAGTAAAAGAGCTCTTGTATATTTAAGATACTTTGAGCTATCCGAATTAGTATATACTGGATCCACACAAAGAACCACAGCAATTAACATGAAAAACAAGTGAAGGATGTGAATATTCTAATCACAAATATTAAACATGTTCTAATATCACATCATCAACCTAAAGATGCTGAGGGGGGGGGAAAAAAAAAGAGCTTAAATAAATGAAGCATGGCAGTCAACAAGAAAGAACAAATGGAAGTTGTAAATAATCACAAATAGCAAACATTTTGTAGCATCCCAGCATCAATATAAATTGAATAAAATTAAGATATTGAAAAAACAAAAACAAATGGTATCCACAAATACAGCAATAAAGCTAGACAGACACATTCAATGAGTTACAGGGGAAAACAAAAACAAAAACAAAAACAAAAGATTTTATTATAAAAATAATAAGAAGATTGTGGCTGAAGATGAATTTTTCCAATTATTGAAAATATAGACAGCTGAACTTGATTCAGATATTTTCAGAAAATAATAATACTTGGAACTTTCAAAATTTGGATACACATACACAACATACACTGGCTTCCAAAAGTTATGCATGTAATGGTAAAATCAAAAAAATGGAAAAGTAAAACTTTGATTAATACCAAATTGCACATGATGATAGCAAATGTGTATATTTATGAAAAAAAAAACACATATTATGGACAAAGATGAAAATAATGTTTAATTTTCATGAATTATATGATGACATTATATTCGAGTCATTGAAAAATTAATGTTTAAAGCTAAAAAATGAAATTGACATTAATAAGGTATGTGACATTCATATAAACTTTACAACATTTACTCCAATGAAGTGATCACAATCGCAGATTGTGCAACTCAAGCTAATAGACAAAAGACAGTTTCAAACTGTCTAAGACAGCCTGGAGAAGATAAACATGCAGAGATAATATGTCTGAGGACATCCTAAAGATTTTCAATGGCATTAAGGGAATACAATGGCCCCAAGAATATGATGTCATACAAGAAATACTCTAAAGGCACTCATGAAGATAAGCATTATTATCCAAAAGGATAAAATCATTACCAATTGCTCCATTGTAGGAACTCAAAACAGGATCTACAATTCCATCCCAAAATATACAGCTGTCACAGAAACATCTTTAAGGATGTGCAGCAAGGTGCAACACCTTATTGAAATTCCACCCCACACCTTTATGTTCGCATTTGTGAATGCATGATGTGTGATGAGTTCTGGGCCTGATTCCACATGCTTTGTTATCTCGAAAGTCTTACACAATTATCACCTAGATTCCAGGACAAATCTGGACTTCTCTGTAAACAAGACATAGCATTAATCTGAGAGAGTCCAACTGAGATGTTATGATACCACTTTAATCTTGCCTCTTTGGTTCATGGTTAGTGGAACATAAACACTTAGTAGTAAGGAGTACTATCCCTTCATGAGAAGTTTTCAGCTCACAGTACTGGCAGATATTGTCTTACAAGTGACACTGCAATCATAGATGTAATAGTTATGGAGATCTCCCATCAAATCCACTAAACTGCTATAGCAATATACTGACCTTAAAAAGGAATGGTAACCCTTGGCCGTGTGGGCAGAGGTCTCCAAACAACTGGCTGACTTGTTTGGAATTGTTTCCAAATTCAATAACTTATTGAATGATCAATGTCAGAGGTGTTTATGGGACCCCAAAAAGTCCCCTGAAACTTTTACGGACTTATTACTGACATTTTGGAGTTTTGAGAAGGGGGGGAGAGAAATGAAAAATTACAATTATGAAGTATTGAATGACCTAATCATAAAAGTTCAATGAATTACTTTTTTTGCAAAATTAATAACCATAAATTTTCAAACATATAAACTACTACATTTTATGTAAATATTTTAAATTACCTGAATTAATTCTTTAAAAAAAAATTATCTAATTTCTGCTGCTTTTTTTTATTTTCTAATGTTTGTGGCCTTGTCTTTCTTTTGTGGTGAACTTCATAATTGCAGGAAGGTTGACTTTTATTTTCCTCATTTACAGTTGAAGAAATTTCCCCGAGAACTGCACATGCAGAGGTAGAAGCAGTTTGTTTTTCTGCTAATGTAGAAGGTTTTTCAGAGACTTTTATAGCTGACTCATCTGAAATAAATGTTTTTAAGTCCTCTTGATATGTTCTCCCACTTCTGCTCATATTCAGTAAGATATCTTTGTGAATTGGATCAGTCATTGGATTTTTTGAGCCATATTTTTCACATGAGGTTTCTTTAGAAGCCATTAAATCATATTTAATAGTCTGCACTGCATCTAGGGAATCAATCTTAAGAGAGGTTCTATAGTCAGTGACAAGTGTATCCGTTAAGTTGAATGCACTTTCCACTAATGGGCCATGGAAGCAGCTAAGGCAGGCTTTGACCAATTTAGCCAATGTAGGATACTTATAATCATTTGTGAAATCATCTTTTAAATTAAAAACTTTAGACCATTATTTATCAATTGTACACTTGACTTGATTTCCACTTTCATCAGATGTGTAGAGCATTTCTTTGGTGATATCAATATCACTCTGGTATAACCTTATTTCACAGCTTCTACTTTTGACTTTTTCATTATCACTAAAAATATGGGACATAAAAGATGATAATTTTTTTAAAAGCTAATATTGTACTGGTTTTTTTTTACCTCTTAGCTCTGGATCTAATGCTGTAAAAGTAATTAGATATGAATTTTTAAGGGGTAATTTCTGTTTCATATGCTGTGCTGTATTAGTATAAGCTTTCATCAGAGAAATTTGGAATTCTTTTGCTATTGGATGATTTTTTGATAATTTCTTCAGGAGAGTGGAAGCTTCTGCACCAGTAAATATTACTTTGCTAGGTAGATGGAATTCTGGATTTGTGACATCAACCTTTAATAAATCATTATAAGATGTGCACTCTATATACTCTATATTTTCTGGCTTGCATAAAAAAAAAAAGAGAAAAATTTTGCCATCAATTTATAAATACTGGAATGTATTAAATGAAGCATTGGTTTTTTTTGTTTCAAATAATTTAATATATGTGTTAAACTCTGGTAATACTGCTGAATATAATGCCATATGCAATAAAGTTTTGTTTTGCATAACAAATAACCCATTTAGTATTCTTTTTTTCCAAGCTAAAGCATCCTTTGTGAGTTGTTGGGAATGCAAGCAAGAATACACCCCTTCAACAATTTTTTAACACAATATGCTTGTCCAATTTAAATACAATATGCTTGTCCAGCAACATTTATTTTCTTGCACCATGTGCCGATGGTATCCCCATTACCATCTTTCCGTTCAATCCAATTCCACCTAAATGCATTCCGGACACCTTCTTCTAATTGTATAATATCACTATTTATATCGAGAAATTTCATAGTGAAATTCTCTTGCGTACATAAATAAAAAAATATTTCAATAAACGAAACGAAAAATTTACACGTGCATCAATAAATGAAATGAAAATTTTACACAGCGGAGAAAAAAAATTTGAGAAGCGATCAATGACAAATAGCTAATACGGCGAAAAATCCCCCTTCTCTAGTTATTGGCGCCATGCCAGGAGAGATAAGACCTCTGAACCTAGAGTCACGTGATCGCACATCTGGTCGAACGAAGTCTCTCCCTGTATTTTCTGCCGCGCCTACTTGCCGAAAAGAATCCAGAAGAGAATGTCCGAGAACCGGGGGAATGAATCATAACTCGCAATAAGGAAAGAACAAAAAAGAAGTTTTTTCCCCCTTTTCACGCATTATCACTGCCTTTGGAGAAAGAAAGGTAAAAGTTTTCACCACACACACTGACTTTGCATTTTCTGCTTTCAAAGCAAACAAAATTACCCAGATCAAAATAAATAATTCATTATTATTCCTACTTCCTTTTGAACGACGATCCCCGGAATTTCCGGGTATTGAAGTTTAAAATCCCCGGAATTCCGGGGTTTCTCTGAAGCACAAACACCCCTGCAATGTCAAAGAAAAGAGCAACATCTTTGATTCAACTATTCTGCTTCAATACATCCAGCAGCATGCCAGTGCTCAGTATCTGTTATTCCTCTTCCATCAGCCACAAAAACAGAAATATGATAAAAAAATTATCCTAAAAAGGTTATAAATACTTTGTATTAGCATGCAAATGAACCTAATTAAACCCTTCAGAATGGTGATATCTTCAATGACTGCCTAATAAGCATATGTTCGGACAGTCAATTGCAATTGATTGTAACATATAATATTCCTGCAATTTGCAGCTATAGCAATTTTCAGCCACTCAAATTCAGCTACACTTTGAAAAATTACTAATTTGCATTGAATGCTTAACTTCTGGAAGTTTGTGTACTTACGAATATAGTCTAATCCAAAAACTATTCTGAAACTGTTTCATGCAGAATCAGAATTGTCATGAAATAAACAAAATTGGTTTTGAAAACTTTGAACAATTACTTCTGAGCAACTTTTATAACCTAAACCTTATCTGGCACTTATCTGCACCCCTCTGAAAATTCAACAACTCAAACTAATAGACAAAAGGCAACAGTCAATTTGAAAATGGTTGGATACTAAGAATTCCATAAAAGAGTAATGAATCAACAAACAACAAAAATAAAAGGAAATATCCATAATAAAACACTATCTTTTTCAGAAAATCCTTATGTATTGTTTTGGCACTGTTGTTTTACCCATCTACATAGCAATCTGTTTCCAATTAAAAAACATCAGAATATTTCACAAATTTGGCATTGCACACAAATTTAGATTTACAAAATTCAATCCTTTAAGAAGTGCAAGTTCACAGAATGTCAATTTTTGCATTCTCTACTGTTAAGCAAAATGCCATATTTCTGAAGAAATGTAACACTTTCTTTTTCATCAGCTGGCAAATTCAACAGTCTCATTATTGAATATTTGATTACTTACAAGAAAAAAAAAATGTACTCAGTGCCAAACAAACACTAATCAGAAAAATTACCACTGTAACCAATCCTTTAATATAAACTGTTGGACTAATTGTAACAACAAGAGTGTCCTATAGTGAGTAGCCAGAGAAGGACCTCAGTAAAAGCCAAATAATTAACCTGATAGGCTGTATCAGACTCTTTCTCTGTAATTTTCTTAAAGTTAAGAGTAATGTCCATGTGTAACTTAAACCCTGTTAATAAATAATTGTTACACTATAAAGGACTCTTCTATGACCCTATCCAAAACCTATCCAATACCACCAAATTTGAAAGTGGAAATCAGCACTTGACAGCACACACGTGCATACCCAGATAACCACATAAATATATTTGGGCAATGTTAAACCGCCCATTTCGGTGACATAGTGCAGTGCCTTATAAATACTTTTCATGAGATTCGGATAATCAGAAAGAACACAATATTTTAGTTTTTAAACTTCACTGCTGAACATGGAAATATTCTGTATTTACTACAATTTTACTTTAAAATGAATGAATCATCTCTACATTTTAACTAAATATTTTTTAATTCTTTCACATTTCCAGCATTCTTTTCTTTTTTTTTTTTTTTACTTTTGCAATGCAAGTGCATTTTTTATAGCTTTCCCAGCTGCAGTAACCAATGATATTTCTTTTCCATCTGACTGCAAAATATTGCATCAACTGTCACAATTGCTTCTGGTTATATAGAATGAAGTTGATTCACAGCTCCAGCATATATATGTGAGATATTCCGGCTGTAATCCTCCAAGCAAAATTGTAGGTAAAAGTCTCAGTGTAGATTTAAAAGCTTTCAAATACAATTAGATAGCTCTTAAAAGCTATTGAAGTCATTATGATTCAACAAAAATTTCAACATCCCATATCTACTGAAGCAATGAATACCTTCTACTAGAAATGAAATAGTATGAAGATAATGATTTCACATCCTTTAGAATCATGACCGAACATAAAATGCAGCAGAAACATTTGAAAAACTACTGTTTATTTACTCTGCTTTCAGAATGCATGATGTGAGCAAATTAAACTACATGATTAGATGCTTTAATGATAAATTCAGAGCAAAGCATTTCAGTTTTAAAAGCATATGTGTTCATTCTATGTTTTTGTTTTTGAATATGAGCATTATGAACTAAAAATATTAAAATAATATTAACACATCTCAGATCGGAAACAGTGATAGTCCAGAATAAAAAGAGCCAATGGTTCTGAACGTTTTTTTACCCAGTCACCTCTTGCACAATTGCTAGACAATATTAAAAAAAAAAAAAAAGAAGAAGAAGAAGAACCTTTAAAAACTCAAAAAATAGACATGCAGTTTTTTTATTTGGATTTTTCTAACATGTTTTTGTAAATTAAACAAGAAAAACTGTAAAAAATGTTAATAAACACCAAAACTTTAATAAAAGTAGTTTTTTTTTTTTTTTTTTTTTTTTTAAATTCAGAAACTAAATACTTAACAGGTAAAAGTGCTGACCACATCCCCCCTGAAACAACGAAATTCCTCCATGGTGGAGAATCCCTGGAATAAGCAACCAAAGCAAAAGATTGTAATTTCAATTCCATGACCAATACTGTGTATATTTTGCAAATTAATGGAATGCTGTGTTTTATAACACAATATATTTTTTATAACTCTATCTAAATTTGAAAACACATTTACAAGATTCTGATAAAGATTTTATCATTCATTTATTAAATGCCAATCACTTATAAACTGGAATCTTTTATCTCTGTAGAAATGACAGATAAATTAGTTAATCCCTTATCTATAATAATATGTGTTTTCAAATCAATAACATTTGGAAAATACTAAGGTGGAAAGAGCCCAATGGTTTTCTCTGCACACTACACTTGACAAAAATACTGAAAATGACAGTCACCTACAGAGTGTCAAAATGTATATATTGTTTTCACATAGTTTTATTACATCAATAAAGAGTATACAATTATAATATGGAAAATAAATGAAAGGTCTCATCTATGTGAATTGGTGACACTGAGTTTTTGGCCCTAGATGTGATCTGAAAATTAAATTCAAATTATAGAAACTGGAAATTAATTTCTAATATTAAAAAAAAGTTAGAAATATATTAATAAAATTAACAACAAATTGAAAAGAACTATTAAAAAATCTCTTTATATACATATCTTATAAAATATATTATATAAAATCTCTTATTTAAATGAGATACTGTGCAGAAGACTTGGCAAAATTTTTGTCAGAATGAGGAAATTTAATGCCTTAAAATTATGACAACTAAGTAATTTTAGACTTATAATACATGCCATAATTTTGAAAATAAAAAACAAGATTAAAAGTTAACAATCATAAAAAGTAGATTCAGAGGTTGCTTCTTAATAACAGTTATTTAAAAGAAGAAAACCCTATTTTGAATATGCTTACAGCAATTTACATTATAAAGCCACATTGATTTATTAAAATAACAAAAAATGTCTAAGCTGGTATTGTAACTAAAAACCTTTCTTCATCTTCCTTTCTACCTAAAGATATTAATAAAAAGTAATATATTTACACCTAAACTTAACCAAAGACTTAAAATATTATCACATTAAAATATCAAGAAAAGACATGAAAATATGAAATCAGTGGCACACACATCCTGTTTGAAAGCAGTTAATCCTACTTGAAAATGTATTTTGATATCTACTTCAGAGAACACTATTTAATGATGAAATTCCAAATAAATTAGCATTTCTAAATAACAATTAATATTTTAGATAAACTGCTTAAAATAGCAGTTAGGTAGCATTTCATCATAATTTAAGTAGCCTATGTTACAAATCTATAAATCAAATATGCACTCAAATTCTTAAAGATATTAATTGAAAAACTCAAAATTATGATTGAAAACAATTGTACTACATCTAAATTTTAAATCAAAACTGCAGATTCTACTAAAACAATCTAATTATAATAAATTAGATAAATTTAATTGCAAATTATTTAAATTTACAGAATTTTTAATGGGTTTAATTTCTTCAACAGGTAACAAATAATCAGATTAATTATAATTGATCAGAATCAAATAAATTGGTCTGCTTTTTTATTTTTAAGAAAGAAAAGCACAGCATACTGCAAAGAAAAAATTGCGATATGTAATTTTTTGAAGGGAAAAATATAACAAAAAGGTAATAAACATAAAATAAAATACCTTGCTTAAAACCAGAAAAATTATATATGTTTCAAAAATATTAATATAAACAATGCTTATTAAATATTAATATTCCAGAGTATAAAGTTAACTAATTACCTCAATGTGGCCATATGAGTAAGACCAGAAGCAGATGGGCTCATAGAACGAGAACCTGCTGGTGAATTAACACAACTGGATGGGAAGCTCCGAAAGGGAGAATGAGTGCTATGCCCAGGAGTATGATGTGAAAGATTCAACTTAGAATGACTACTTTTAGATGAATACGATGAAGCTCTAGTAACAGGAGTATGAACAGGATTATTCTGTGAATCTATTTGAATTTTAGAACAAGCAAATTCAGCTTCCTATATTTGGGAAACAGAAAAATAATTTCAATACTTTAAAATTCATTCTATAAAAATAATAGTAAAAATTTAAAGTTACATTAGCATAACTTGATATTCGAAGTGTGCTTTATAAACTTCCACTATTCGTGTAAAATAATTCTTACTGATTTTTCACCTCCCTTTTAAAAGTAATTTGAGAACATACAGTAATGTATCTGGAATACTATTACTTGCAGTTTCTTAGTGAATATCTAGTAAAGTTTTGTACATAAACATCTAATAAATTCTTCAAAGATCATTTCTCACAACCTGTCAGTGTACTCAAACTATCCCAAACAATTAATCTATTTGAACAAATTAAAATTTGGATAAGTTTTATCAGGGAAAAAAATTATGCCATAGCGTAAAGAAAAGCATAGAAAACCCTGATCCATTAGTGTAACTAAGGCCCAGATTCTTTTTTTTTTTTTTTTTTTTTTTTTTTTTTGAAAGAAATTCTCAATCGTTGCACGCTAAAATAGTTAAAAATGAGCAATTTGATGGAGACCTCGAGGAGATGAAATCTAGAGTAACACGTGTAGAAACAGTCTTTTCATAAAAACTTACAAGTTATTTTTAAAATTTAAAAGCTTATTGAATAAAATCTCACATTCGCTATCATTTGATCATGAAAAAGAAAATCATTTCTAGCATTTCAATATGAGAAAATAATTAGGCTATATCTATTTGGGGGAAAAAGCACATTCTTCCATACTGAATTTAACTAAATAAGCATGCTTAGCATTTAGGCAATAGAAACAGATCCACCAGCAAGAGAATTCCTCCATGGTCACTTAGATATGGCACAAAGTTCGATATCCGGATCCATCAGGACTTCACCGATTCCAGATTTGAGATTTTTCTGGATATTATATCATTACTTTAAATCTAGAGATGATATGAAGAACTTATAAAATTAAAAATAAAAAATCATGGCTTATGAAATCATGAGGCATTTATGACCTTAAGTTAATCATAATTTACAAAAAAAAAAAGCTCATTATTTATTTGTTTGCTTTATTAAAAATTTCCTTCAATATAAGTTATTTAAATTACTTAGTTTTTTGTGCTAATACTTTCTTTTTAATTCTACAAATAGACATAATTTCTTATTCAGTTACAATGTTTCATTGTTTAAGTCCTGTAATTGCTCTGTCGAGAATTCCTGCTAAATTACCAATAAAAATTTTTTTTGCTCTCAAGAACCTGTCGTTTTCTTCACAATGGATATGTGATAGTTTCTGGATTTAGATCCATACTAGAGATTTGCCATCTGTTAGTTGACTGAGATTGGGACATTGTCATCACAATGAAAAAACTTCTGATATACCATCTTCATTTACTACTTCTTCACAATTCTGCAATTTTTCACTCATTTTATTAGTTGGAAAATTTACTTTTTGTACATGATATATGAAAACTGTCAAATTCATAGATATCACCATCAAGTTTAAATACCACTATATACTAGTAACGATGCATGATGAGATTGGCAACTAAAGACATGTTCTGCTAAATTTTGTTTTCTTTTTAATGCCGAAGTTAAGTCTGAAGTACGATGTTATTCATTATGCTTAATTCCTGAACATGCTCAAGGCTTATCTGATTCCCAAATAAATAAATTCTCACATATATTTAAGGCTTATAGAGAGGCAGTTTTAGACATTTTGCAGTCCAGTGCAGTCTCAGTGGGTCTTAAATTCTACTGCCAAGTACCTCCCTAAATTCTAAAGATTTTGCCATCTCTTAATTCTCAATTCACACAGCTCTAAATGTTATCTTTTGGTCTATGAGAACCATTTACAAAATCTATTTTTTGCATATGGAAAGAAATGTCTGTTAAATTCCGCCTCATCAACACACTCAACACTTTTCAGCACAGTTACATGAATCCTCTAATCATTTCCAAGCATGTCAACATAAAAGGTTACTATGCTCTTTCACAGTCAATTACTAATATATATTTAAAAAAATATATAATCTGCTTAGACATTGCTCAATGATTTTTTTCTCAAGCTGCCAAATATTGATAGTCACAAACTGATGAAAGCAAAAAATCTGATATGGACACCACGATTTACTGTATAGCTTATTAAATTATACATTTTTTGCTGCATTTAGTTTAAGTATATTCCCTTGAATTTAATTAGAGCTATATTTCTCATTCAATCAATTCAGTTCTCACTTCACAGCAAGGCAAAGATACATAAAAACTCAAAACATTTTAATGAAAACAGTAAAACACAGAGAAATCTACACCAAATATAGTTAAAACAGTTAAAAAAGCAATTTTTACAACTAAAATTACAATTTCTAGGCAAAAACAAGCAATTTGACCAATGAGTAGGAAGACAAAATTTGCGGTGCACAAAATTGAAACTTTTTGTCATATTGGGCAAAAAGACACCAAAGTTGGTGCCCTAATTGATTTAATTCACTGTTTTACTAAGAGTAATGTTACTACTATGTAAATAAATGGCCGCATCATTACGCTTAGCAGTGCCATGTAATACTTTTGAACTATTGAGAATTCCAAAACTACTGCATGCAGATAGGCATAAGAACCTTAACAAAAACATACAAATAACATCATTTAGTCATTTTTAAACCAAAAAAATGTGCAATTCCCCAACATTTAAGAAACTGAGCTCAGTGAACCAGAAACAGAGTGGCATAATATATTATATATATATATACAGGGTGTCTCAGTGCCACGTTTCAGAACTTCTAGAATTCTAGGAGGGGTAAGATACACCTCAATGACTCGGTATCATACAACAATGCAGGGTCTAAAATGCTTTCCCAATACGGTAGATGGAGTTGCACGAAAGTTCCCAGAGTTCTTGCAGGGAATCGTCATTTTGCATAAGGATGCAGATTTAGTAGGATGAACAAATTATATGAATGTGGAGTTAGCTGATATGCATTTGGCATATGGAGCTACAGACTGTAGTGAGCCAGTTGTACAGCTCTTGTACGTAGAACGATATCCTATAAGGCACACACCCAGCCATAATTTTTTTTTTCATGGCTGCACTGGTGGTTTGCTGAAACAGGTTCCTTTCAAAGAGCTGCAATGAATCGGGCACAATCAGCACGGACTCCAAACATTGAACAGAATACGCTACATCAGGTACAGGGAACTTGAGTATGTGAAGTGTAGTGCACACAGTTGAAGTTCCTCATTCCAGCATCTGAAGGATTCTAAGAGAAAACAAAATGCATCCATACCATGTGCAGCATATTCAGGCACTTCAATCAAGTGATTATGCACCTCGTATTGCTTTTGCACAATAGTATCTTGAAAACTGTGTTACAGATTATTGTTTCCCTGCCAATGTGTTGTTCACCAATCAGGCATCCTTCACAAAGAAAGGAATATTCAATGCAGGTAACTGCCATCTCCTGGCAGTACAGAACCCTCATGCAACACAATGTCGTACAGTGCAGAGTCAGTTTTCAGTTAAAGTTTGGGCGGGCATTGTGGGAAATCACCTTATCAGACCTTACCTGTTACCTTTTCATCTAACTGGTTTTAACTATTTTATCATTCTGCAGCAAGTCATGCCACAACATTTAGATGACAAACAGATTTCTGCTTCGATGCAACAGACAATGTGGTTCCAACACAATGAGAGCCCCCCCACATTTCAATGTTCGTACGCACCTAGACGTCAGATTTGGCCAACAGTGGATTGAAGGTGGAGCTCCACTGCATTCACCTGCTCGACCATCGGACCCATCATGTCTTAATTTCTTTTTATGAAGGCAAATGAAGACACTGGTTTATGACACCTCGCTGACAATGCCGAGGAGGTGGCCACACGAATCATGGTAGCTGCTGGGAAAATTAGAGATATGCCTGGAATATTCCAGCATATTCAGAATTTCAAGCACCATAGATGTGAGGCATGCACTGAAGTTGGTGGACAAAACTTTGAACACTAGCTTTGACTCAAGCTACTTATGTTCACGTAAATTTATTATTAAAACAAATATTAACATACCTGCTGTATTTTAATTTCCGATGTTTCTGTGTACACCAACGAGTCAGGAAAGCATTTCCAACCCTGCACTGCTATATGATTCTGAATCATTGGGGTGCACCCTTCCGCTGCTACAAGTTCTAAACGAACCATGCATCATACGTATTCTATGTGTCAGAGACACGAGGCCTGCATAATAGTCCTGGGTCGAAATTTCAAACACCTTCTTTAATGATGATCGTTGTCTGTTTTTGTTCTTATTTGTTAGTTTCTGCTGTACTAAACATAATAAAACATGTTTTGTCACACTGTTTGTGTCCTTGAATTTTTGTGCTTTGTGTCGTCACTACTGTGCCAAGAAAGTGTTCCTGACAATGCACTGCTATGTGATTTTCCATCATCGAAGTGTACTAATAGACGAGGTGTACTGAAGAATCAGTATGAAAGTTTTTTATTTGTGCCAAAGTGAAATTAAAAGCCAGGATACTCCATATTTTATTCTAGAATAATATCAAGTGTGCATACATAAAGAACATACAAAAACACACACACAAAAAAAAAAAGGTTGCTGGTGGTCTGGAGACTTGGATGGTGGACTTTGTACTGTATCTAGCATTTGGTATTTGCATCTTGCCAAGCTAATTCAAATGATCATACTTATTATTGAGATGTCACAATGAAAAATTACTGCATTAATCGATGTTTCCACCTTGTTACAACTACAGTTAGTGCTCCATACCTACTGCAGAATATGACAGGAAGATTTAAGAAATACATTCATAATTTCAATAACTTTACAGCATTCAAACTTCACAAATTCATAAACACAATGTAAAACATGGATGATTCATCTTTCATGGTGCATTTTAATATGAAGCATTTTTAATACCATTAATATATATGCTGCTTGACACAAGAAGTCATGCATAATAGTATTTAATGATTCCTGTCTGTAAAATGTATATGCATCAGTGAGCAATTGTATTGATGCTGATCATTTTCACGCAGTTTGTTTCAGCAGCACCGATTTTATGGGATCTTCAGCCAGAACAGCAAAAATTACATTCAGTACCTACCTTTTTTTTTTTTTTTTTTTTTTTTTTTTTTTACCTAAATTTTATCAAAAGTAAAATATACTGAATGGCCGTATGATTTAGCTTAATATTCTGTTTTATGACAGATGCTAGTTATTTCTTCCAAAGAGTACCTTTATCTGAAAAGGCTTTTTGATACATTTTTATACATATGCTTTTATGATTGGATTTATATACATTTAATACCTTTTATATAAAAGTATTCTAACTTCAACAAATGTGAATGTATATCAATAAAAATGAATTCATTTCATGCTGAATGTGGCTGATTTATTCCTGGACCACAAAAGTCAAATTCAAATAATTCCCCTCAGGAATAATGCTTTTTATCTTCTTAGATCCCATTTACATACATATATTCAAATGATTCAAACACATGTATTGTTTGTTCACGGTCAATCCTGCTGACCAATACAGTACAATAAAGTTTGTTTGGTTTATTTGGTTATAGCAGAATTGGGAACCTTTTTACCATGGGAGGCCACATTTAAATTAGGTGATAAGGGAGGACGCATAAGTTGATATACCTAAAAATGGACTTTCGTGAAATTATTATAGTTTTTTGTTTAGTTTTATCAATTTATTTCAATAGCTAGAAATAATGCAAAAAACATGAAGTCATTTATTAAAATAGTTTACAATATAAAATATTTTTGTATTCACATAAGGTTGATAACATATTATAATGTTAATCTTTAATATTTTTTTAATAAACAACTACATATATTTAAATACTACTTCAAATAAAAAATAATAAAGTAGAAACTATTTTTTAGATTATAAAGAAAACCAATGAAAAAATAATAATAAAATTAAGATACAAAAAAAAAAAAAAAAAACATAGAAACAGTATGTAAAATAATGTTAAAATCCGATGGAAAACTTAATTTAGTGGGATATTTGCATTTGTTCCTTGTCTGAAAATGCATGAATATTTGGATCACACTTCCTAGCATGTTGCCTTAGTAGATCATCTAAATGAGCATCTGTAATTTGCATTCTTAAAATAGTTTTAATTTTGTCCATGAGAGAAAACGTTGAGTCGCAGCAGTAAGTACTTCCAAAGGAGGAAAGTAAATGGTGTGCATGCTGTTGTAAGCATGCATATTCAACAGCATTCTTCCAGATTTCTACGGGATTTCTATAGATTTCTATGTGTCAAAAAGAGATTTGAAGATACTATCTTCCTGCAACTCAAACAAGTCCATTTGTAGTTCTGTAGGAGCTTTGGATATATCTATTAAATGTGGTTCAAGCCAGTTTCATACCAGAACGTGCTCATCAAAATCTGAAAATCTAGTATATTCTTCTATTAAAAAATCCAAGAATCTACATATTCATCAAATGTTTTATTTTTATATTTTTGCTCATTCAACATTTTTGCTAGCTCTAAAATGTGTTCTGCAGATACATCTAAGCATGAGAGCAATGTTTTGAAAAATGTTATTTTTTTCAAAATGCTTGAATCTTTTGCAACATTTCACATATATGCTTCATTTTACCTTGCATGTGAATATTTAAATTGTTTTGCCATAATATCAAACAAAAATGCAATGTTTCTGGAAAATGCTTCATCTAACAGATCACACGCTTTTTTCTGTTCTTGATAAAAGTTTAAAATTCGTCGTCATGAAGCTAAAAGTTTTATCAAAACCTGTCCTGCTGATAGCCAGCAAACCTTGCAATAATACAGTAGATCAAACTGTACGTTTCCTTGTCCAAATTTAGCAGCTGCCAAAATTCATGATTATGTATTGCATTTACACGAATATAGTTGACAACTGAAATAGTTCTATCCAGAGTGTCTTGCAAAATGATTGCAAACAGATTTTGCTGTTGCAAAATGCAGTAAAATTATATAAATCTTTTACCTCTCATAGGTGTGGCATTGGTGCAGACACTGACTAAATTACTGACATTTAATTCTAATCGATGGTATATTTCTCTGAAGTTTTCGAAAATGTCAACTCCGCAAGTTCTTCCAGTTAGTGTAAGCTAATGCAAGAAGTTCTTCGTAACACTGAAAATCTTTAGGTATGGCACGAATAAAAAATAAAATGTGCCAAGTCAGTTTGATCAATGCCTTCATCTAAAGCAATTAAAAAATAAACATCTTCATTATGTATAATTGTACCAAGATGCTCTGTTACATTTTCAGCTAATTCGTGCTGTGGAGTTCTTGAATGAAGCAACTTTTTGTATGTATCAACTTTTTCTGTATATAACATGTCTACTGCTTTAACAATACATTCTATAATTATTCTATGTTCTTCAATTCTTCACTAAATGGTCTGCCTCTTTTTCCAAGTATATGTGCTATTTTTTTTAAGTAACAGCAACTGCAGTGGTATTTTTCTTTACAAAAGCATTAAAAGATGCCTATTAATGATGCTTTTCATTTTTCAATTTTTGAACTGCAGCTTGTCGAGATTCACCTTCTAAATTGAAATATTTATTTTCTTTATGAGTCAAATAGTGTTTATTTGCATACGCTTTTTTAAAGTCAAAACTGTACTGCACAATAAATAGTTCATTTTTATCTTTCACAGAAGTAAAGAAATAATCTAACTCTCATTCTACATTAAATGTTCCATTTTTCTTCATTTAATTTTCATATCTTACAATTTTACATGATGCAGAAAAAATTAATATCAAATAGTACCTTTAACAAACCGTATACTTACTAAAAATACAATAAAACCATGCATTGGTAAAATCTCAGAATAAGTAAAACAATACCTAGATTTTCACAATTGTTGACAGCAATACATGACAAGACTGTTACAAGCATGCACAAACAACTACAAATAACCAACTCCGCAATGTACAGGGGAATGCTCAGGGGTGCGAGGCAGAGGAAGAAAAGTAGGCACTGTCTGTCTCTCAGAACAGCCACCGTCACGGTGTCTGGTGGGTGGTGGCTGCTATAGCAACAGGATTAGTGTATTTCAGGTAGAATACATCTTTGAACCTATTCATGTTCAAAGATCACTATCACTATACAGTGTTATCAGATACACTTTCTGTGTCATTCTTCTAGAATTGGGTTCATACCTGTCTTATTCAGAACACAGGTAAAGGCAAAAGAAAGTAAAGATGCTTTCCTTTAAGGATACAATGTGCTTTTAATATCCTAAACAGAACTGATTTTAATTTTTTTTTCATTTACACATGCAAAAAATCCTGGAAAAAATATGAAAATATATATATATGTTCCAACTGATGATATACATAGATTCATTCTATATAATTTTCATAATAACTTTAAAGATTCATTATTAGAGTGTAAAATAATATTAAGTGTATAGTGCAGTTGGACTGGACTAAATGTTTTGTTCATTATATGTGGAAGTTCATTACAAGCCAGGTTCATTATACAAGAGTTTGACTTCATATACTTTTGCAGGACGAATACGACAGTATTAATTATTTCTGTTCAGTTTCAGAATACATACATAAAATAATAATTCAGAACCTTGCAACAAAAATTTGAATCAGATATCAATGCAACATAAAATAAGAAGCATAAGAAATTCCAGATCTTTTGGGGTTTCAAAATTAAAAAATTATGTGTTTAAAGAATACAGTTAGCTATGGTGAAAAATGTATAATGTTATAAGAAAATATAATGATGCCAACCATAAACATGGATTTATACATGTAATGCAAAAAAGTAATAAGGAAATCTCAAAATATTAACTTAATCAAATTATATACCTCAAATGTTGTAGTCCGCAACTTCCACACAGAATGAAAGCCTTTTTTATTATATGTCATTATAAGTGATGGATTCAAATTACAGAATATAATTTCTTCTGACGGATCACAAAAGTATTTCAGTTGTGGAGTTGATTGTGGATTTGTTGATGTACTCACTGATCGTTTAACGACAGGTGCTATATCATCAAGAGGATGCATCATGCTGAATATCACAGGTAAGCTATCTGGTTGATTGCTAAAATTAAAAACATAATATGAATTACAAAATCATACATAAATAATAATAAAAAAAAAATCTGAAGGGTTTCAGATTTTAAATTACGTCATAAGGGGCATTTTTTTAATGTTTTGTGTGTTACCTTTATTTATTAAATATCATGTTCTTTGCACTTAAACCATAAAATTCAGTTCAACAGCAATGTCACAAAATAATTTTAAAATGAGTATATCTTTAGAATTTCTGATACGCAGTTCCGCGCACTGGAGATAAAAGAAGATCTGGAGATAAAAGGAGATCGCCGAAGTCCCAACGAGTCCAGACCTCGGACTTTGTACTGTATATATATATATATATATATAATATATATATATATGATACGGAATGTATTTTTTCAGTTTAAACTTCTACCCAATAACTTTAGTAATTCATGAATAAAATCGAAATGGAGCCAAGCAGATTTCCCGCAAAATCGATAACAGACCCTCTGTAGAAATAAACTCATAATCCCAATATCCCATACATATATGTGCAAAAGAGAATAAACTCCGTAGAAGGTCATCAAAAATTAATTTATGGCTTAATTGAAACAAACACAGAAATTAAGGCTAAGCAAAACCATGTAAAAAACAAATTGAAATGATAAAACGAAACTTAATTTTCATGTGAATTTTCAAGCGCTGACTCTCCCATTCTAGAAATTTCAATTTGTTTCAGACAAAGACCCCATTTAGCATTTAGCTTTAAAAGGCTTTGTCATCCATCAATATCCAGTCTTTGTAATCAGCTTGATGAAGCCACAGTTTATTGAAAATGCACTTTTCAGGCTTCTCTTGTTCCTATTGGCGTCGGAAGGGATGTGGCCTTCCAGGTTGGGATTGCTCTAATTTTGGCAAATATTTTCAGAATCCCCCCCCCTTTTTTTTTTCTCGAGCACCTTCATCATCACTTTCGCCTCTTAAAGAACTTTCGGCTTCATGCTTTCGTCACAATCTCCCTAAATTACTGGATAACACCTGTTTCAAAACATTGGGTGAATAGGCAATCAGACCCCGATACTTTCGTTCGGTTAGCTAATTTTTTTTTTTTTTTTTTTTTTTTTTTTTTTTTTTTATCGTTTGCAACGCAAATCCGCCAACAGATTGGTTAAGAGTCGTGTAATTTTAATTTCCATATTCATGAGAAATTGTAATTCACACTTAGAATGGCAATCATTAGAAATGATAAGAAATGTCAAATGAGCAAAATTAAGGACCGTTATTCATTTTGGCCAAAATTAAGGACTTTTTAAGGACCAAAAATCATTTTTGAAAAAATTAAGGACTTTTAAGGACCGTACGAACCCTGGATTACGTCATTCAAAATTGGATGGCTCAAGTTACCGTTTTATCACAGTTCAATAAACATACATACATTTATGCAGATTCTTCCTTATTTAATTTCGTCAAATATAATACAGGGTGAGAGTATTTGGTGGCAACAATTTGAAAAGTGATATAGCCTCTTAAAGTTTTCAACGCAAAATCGCAAAATGAAAACAATAGTCCTTCAGGGACAAAGCCCCTTTGGACTAAAAAAATACATAAATCAAAAATTAAAAATCAAAAATTGCATGTTAAATAAATTCTTAATTTTTTAGGATTAGTTTGCAAATTTAATTCTCATACTCTTATAGGTTAAAACATCTTAAAAGCTTATCCTTTATATCTTAATACATGCATAAATTTGAATCGCTTGAAAAATTAAATTTTATCTTATCCTACACTATGTTTTAATTTACAACAATAAAACAATTTGTGTGCTTATGCATACAGATGGAATCTCAGAGCTATGAAATTTGACATGTTTTTCAAGCAAGAGTTCATAAGCACCTCAAATCAATTTTTTCAAAAGTCATCTTGGCTTAATTTATAATTTAATAAAACTAATTTCATAGTTTTTTTTTCATACATATCTATTTTTTAACATTTTATATAATCAACAAACAGATCATTGCGCTATCAGATAAATGAGAAAATAAGTCTATTCTGAATTTCTAGCTTATTTTATCAATTTCTGGCAATTTTTCTGTTGATTTTTTGTACTTTTATAATTATATCTTTAACAGTATCAAAATATCCAGGTCACATACTCTCTTCAATTTTCACAGAATATTAAAATTAGTCCTCTGTGCATTTTCAAAACAATTTTTAAAAAAAAAATAGCAATTAGACATCTCCCTTTCCTTTTGTTGATAATACCTTGTCTGCCTTATCTGTTATTCAGTCACTCTCTGGATGCACATTCATCGCCTGTGGAGTACATTCAAGATCTCCAGGCACATTTTGAAGTGATGTACAGTTTTGCTTGAGAACGAATTGACTTGGCGATGTAGAAGAAAAAGACCCAACATGATACAACAGTTATAGGATATTGAGTCAACAAAGGTGACAAAATATGATTATGGGAATTCGACTTGAAGGAAAGTACTTTCTCCTATTAAAATCATGGTCCTACTTGTACATAAATTTGTAAATTTATGCATTCATTTGATTTGTTTTACGTTATTCACTGAAACTATTATCTTAGCATTACAGTGATTTCTTTTAGTCATAAATATGGCTTCCTGTCCAGGTATTGCACTGCCAGAGATGTGCAGTCCTTGGGAAGGGAGCAATGTTATGAATTTTTGTATGTAAGTAAGAAATTTTAGCGAAGTTTTCTTTAAAATTGTAGTATTTTTTAATAATGTAACATAAAATGCTTGAAAGAGAAAATGCTGTGCTGGAAAAATAAATTACAGGAGGCAAGTTTATTTTAACATTGAGTAAATGGCTATCTCGTTAATTTGGCGAGATATGCTGGCAATGGTTTTAGTGACTAATTTTTGTTGCCAAATTTAGAAATATAGCGCCAAAAGTTGCTACACTTGGTGACATTTCGGTCTAGTCCCTTTACAATTGTAACTGAATAACTGTTTATCCCTATATATAACTACAACCAGAATGGCATATGAAATCTGGCTCTCATATGCCTTCCAGTAACTTCGAGAAGTAGGAGGTACTAAAGGTTTTTTGACAGTCAAGGAAAAGTTACTTATGATTAAGATAGCATCAGTTTTTCAGCTGTTAGTTCAGAGCCAAAGTTGGAGTATTGAGATATCCATGAGATCTTTGCCTTTCAGATGCACTTAGCATTTAACATTCACAGCAGTTTGAAATCTAACTATTGATGGTGCTCTGTGATACAGAGGAGAGCTTTACCAAGTATTTTTATGGAAAGTTTTAAAAGTGTAAAGTGTTTCTGATAGTAAAAGTAAATCTTATAAAACTTACGAATTCGTACTTGAATAACTATATTCATAATATATGAAAAGCTATTTTATAAATTTATTAAATTCTAAAGTTTGTTATTCTAAAGTTTAAAGTTTCCCCCCACACACAAGAGTAAATTTTTAGCTTCAGCATTTTATCATCCATTATTTTACCAAACTTCATTTTAGATGCAATAAAATTATTTGCAGATTACAAAATTGTATTAAATGTATTAAATCTACCAGAGATATATTTAAGCATCAAAATTTACTAGAAGATTTTTATCTTCTTTTCAGAGTGAAGCAAAGGCAACAAATAAAGTTGATTCTGAAGATATGTCATGTCCAAAGATTTTTGTGGCACTAACAGCACAGTAAATTTATTAAACAATCTGCTGTTTACATTTAAAAAGGCTGCTTGTATTACCATAAAAGACTATTCCCCCCCCCAAATCAAAATTTTTATGTAAACATAAGATTTAGATTAAAATTTAAACTAATTTAAATTTAAATTTTAACAAACACGTATAAAAGTAAAAAAGTAAATTTAAAGCCAGATTTTTTTAAAAAATTAATTTTTTTTTTAATTTAATTTTTTTTTAAAAAGTTTTTAATTTAATACTTTACTTGCTTGTTTCTCAAAAGACTTCATTAGTATTTCCTTTAGAACTTTAATTCTTAAATGCTAATTTTTAAAGGGTTACCCACTTATTGGTATTTCTTTTTGGACATTCTTCACTTTTTACTTTGGTTTTTTTAGTTTACCCTTGCCTGCATGAAATGATGAACACGAATTGAATGATTGGAGAGAGTTAGGTTTGGAGGCACTTCCCCTTGATAAGTCTGCTCCTGCCTGCTCACAGTCATTCACTTATGCATTTTAAAAAAATTGTTTAGATTAATTTAATTTGCTAAATTATAGGAATTTATTTCATGATTGGTTTTGCATTGATTGTTATGCTTCTGAAATTTAAATGATATTGAGAAGTTCGAGAATTAAATTTTTTAAGTTTCACTTTTTTTTAATGTTTTTTTTAAATGTTTTTTGGCTTTAAATTTTTTTTTAATTTTGGCTTTAAATTTTACTTTTTTACTTTTACGTGTTTGTTTAAAATTTAAATTTAAATTTAAATTTAAATTTCCTTCCTTGTAGCATGGCGCAAAAATTAATTTAATTGAATTTGTATTTAAATTCAATTAAATTAAATTAAATTTCTTATTAAACAGATTTAGATTAAAGACATTTTTAAACGTCAAATTGTGATTTGTTAAAATCTGAATTCTAATCATTAGTAATATAATGCATCATGACTGTTATTACATTTATTTTAAATTATTATTACTTTTGTTACATTTTTCATGATATTATAACTTAAAATTCTTGTAAAATAATTTCAAAAATTTTAAATGTTGATCTTTTCTGTAGACATAATGCTAATTTCCTATCTGTCAAAGTTGTAACATTTGCACCTGTAATTTTTTCATCCCTTCTGCCAAAAAGTAAAAATAAATTTAGTTTAACTAATGAATGAAGATCTATATGTTCAGAAAGAAACTGAGGTTTTTTCCTGAAATGGTTTCAGGTGAGTATCTCATTTTTTAGTTTAGAAATCACACATAAATTATGTTGATGGTACATGGAACATGGAAAGTACATGGAAACTATCTGCCTACAGGAAAGTATTCCTTTAGGTACGACTTTTCTAAAGAAAAATGGCTACCATTTATGTTGCACGCAGAAAAATTCACAAAAACCAACCCAGCCTGTTTGCCTGGGTTGGACTCAAAGATTTTTTTTTTTTTTTTTCCTGAAATGGCTGAGAGAGAAAGGACATAAAATTCTACTCTTCAGGCCACGCCAAAAATAAACCTTTACAAGCCTTCTCTTTTAATTACCTATCGTATTTGTATTATGATAAAAAGTTGCATCAATGTAAACTCTGCAGTGTTCTATTTTTTCATACAGTCTTGATTACTTAATTGTCATACTGTGAACATACACTAAATCTTTGATTGCATGAACTTCAGTTTGTCGAAATGTTTGATGGAATGATTGTCAGAAGTTGAAATTCAAAGGTAATACAAACTGAATATTGAAACATACTATATACAAACTGGTAATGATTCAAAGTTGAATTTTTAATGAAAATTTAAAAAAATATAATATGAAGTAAAAATATTTGCATGAAAAAAGAAACAAAGTCTTTTTTTAATAGGTGCAGAAAGAAAAGTGAAAAGTTTAACATAAACAGAAAAGTTCACAAAGTGAAAAAACTGCAGCCAAAATTTTTCTTGAATTACTCGACATTTCTAAGGAAATTTTACAAAATTTGTCTTTTATGCATAATTTGACTAGTAGAATCAAATTATCTAAAGAAAAAGTCTGATCTTGGGTCAAAAATAAAAAAATGCAAGTTGAATTTCGTCAATCACCTGAGAAGAACAGAAAATAAAAAACTAACCCCCCTTTTTTTTGAGTCAGTGTATATATATTATGAAATACATATTTTACATTTCATTATGTTTTCATCCCCAAAATCAATCAAACCTATTTGCAAATGAAGCTTGTTTCTTTTGGTAGAGTAAATCAAAACAGTTGTTTCCTTTAGTCACTTTGCAGCTAACTACTGTATTCCTGCACAAATTTAGTCAAAGTTTCTTCCACTGCAAGCAAATCTGACAAGCACATATTTTAAAATTAAGACAAAAAAATGTAATGATTTCACTAATAAAACCACTGAAGCTTGGAATACAAGAAAAATAATGAGTACAATGCTAGTTAATTGTGATGCACTTGATTGTCTAAACAACTGTAATCAGCAAGGTTGGCATAGAATTGCAGGAATCTAAAAATTTGGCAACTTATGCTATGGTGGTTATGATAGTAAGAAGTATCTTCATTTCAACATAATCGAAAATTCAAACTTTAATTAAAATAAGATAGCTGCAATAACAATAGCCTGCAAAAAATAATAAACTGAGTCAAATTAGAAAGTTAAGGAAGAATGCAATTTACTATGCTAACAGAACTTAAGTTCCTTGCAATCTAATTCTTTTTACTTTCCCTGGTGTTATGCCAATAAAATAAACCCAAAATGAGCAACAAACAAATATATTTTTGGGCTTCAGTTATGATTTAACTCAGATAGAAAAATCAGAATTCTATTCACAACCACTCAAGGACTGAAAGTGTGGTTGTGGCTAAAGACAATACTACGTCAATTAAGGATTTCCTAGTTAGCAGGGGAGAAAAAATGCTTTTAAAGTACATCTGCTTTTTCTTCTGTATACTTTCCATTCCTAAATTTTGTAAAGAAATTAAAAAAAAAAAAAAACTGGTAGTTTAGAAATTTGGGTATTTGACCATTCCACAGTACGGTATTACTTACATATGTATTAATATTTTAAAATTTATTATGCACAGAGATATGATGAAATGAATTTTGTTTACATGAAACATACGTTTTTGAGCCACTCTGGAATCCTTCAGTAGTAGTATTTCTTTCAAATATTATTCCATATTTAGATGACCAAGCTCTATTAACCTAAAATGAAAATATGATGCTTCAACATGTTTAACCATTTTAAGATTTGCATAAATTTTCACTAAATATACATTGACACATTTTTGTCTGGAGAGGTTGAATATTATACATGCAAGTTGAAATTCAAATAATTTCTGACATAAATTCCCTTTACAAAATGGCCTTTTTAAACCATACTTTAAAGAAACTATTTTTCAAAGTTCAGAATTTTAATTTGATAATTTGAATTTGTGTAGGCACATGAGTTCAAATTCTTATCAGATAAAAACCTAACATAAATTATTTTACTTTTAATATAATAATACTTTTTTAGAATAATATTATGCAATTTCTTAAAGGGTACTGACCTGAAAAATGAATAAACTTTTTAATTTTAAAAAAATTGTTTAAATCACAAAAATAAGAAAAATAAATAAATAAATTTTCTATTACTATTTTAATTCTAAAATTTACAGGGATATTCTAAATTAATATACTTAAAATATTTTTTATTTAAAGTTAATGTAATGAAAATCTAGATTATTGCATGCACATTGACAGTTTCTTAAATATTTTCCATGCTATCTGATTCTTATACATCCTCTTTGTTTTTACAAATGCATGTCTGTATAAATATGCTTGTATACATATACACTCTTTTGCAAAAAAATCAAAGCACCAAGGAGGACTTTTGTGATCATGATGAAATTTGGTATGCAAAAACATCTTGATCGAACATGCAACTGATCAAAGTTTCAAGGCAAATAAACGGGAATTGCGATCATAGCACGCATTTCTAGTGCGCAATTCGCAAAATATAAAACCAGTAACAGAGGCAGAAAATTTTTGTTGTTGTTGTTGTTGTCATTGTAATTCCGTAAAGAAGCGACTAAAGATGCCATTACAATGATATCGAAGACCTTACAGACAACTAAATGACTTCGAATGTGGTCGCATTGTAGGGTTGCATGAAGCTGGGTGGTCATACCGAGGAATAGACTGCCACCTGCAGCGTACAGACACTGCTGTGCAAAGATGTTGGCAGCAATGGTTGCTACAAGGAAATTGCCAACGAAATGAAGGCTCTGGAAAGCCAAGGAGCACAAATGGCGAGGCAAGATAGGATGATTGTGCGCCATGCCCGAACCACCCCAACGGTATCATTGTCAACTATTCAATGCACTACATCCACGTCTATACCTCGCGTGGTACCATCCACCATCTCACGGCGCTTGTCTGAGGCTGGGTTACGCCCACAGAGGCCTTTAAGACATTTGGCCTTTGACTCCACAACATCGGTGGAGTCGTCTGGAGTGGTCGCAACTGATCATCATGGCTGCCATCATATAGTGTTCAGCGATGAATCCCGCTTCCCTCTTGAAGAAGATGACCACCGAGTTCGTGTCTGGAGAGGGCGGGGCCAGTGGTCCCAAATAGCCTTTGCATACAGCATATGCCATAACCAAATGGCATACAGCATTAACCCCTGGTGTGATGGTGTGGGGTGCTATTTCTTATGACAGCTTATGACAGCAGGTCATCTTTAGTCATCCTCCGTACATCTTTAACAGCTCAAAGATTTGTTGATACCATCCTGCGGGTGGTTGCATTACTCTTCATGGCACATCATCCTGGGGCCATTTTCCAACAAGATAATGCCAGGCCATGTACCGCTCGCATATCTCTGAACTGTCTCTATGTGGTTGATACTCTTCCTTGGGCAGCAAGGTCACCAGACCTTTCACCAATCGAGCATGTCTGGGACATAGTAGTCCGCCAGATTCGGGCACTAGAAAATATCGCAGATCTGGAGTGACAACTGATGAATGCCTGGCAGAATGTGTCACAGGATAACATTAGGAACCTCTACAACTCCTTACCTCGACGAATTCAAGCATGCATTACTGCCAAGGGCGGTTCAACCAACTACTAACGTGAACACTCAATGGGTGATTGTGAGCCATGAACAGGTACTAGAACCTTGATTTTTTAATATTTTATTATCTGTGTATGAGCTATACACATATTCAATTTCATCAAAAACAACCATTTCCTTTATGGTGCTTCGATTTTTTTTGCAGAAGAGTGTATATAAGCAATATTTTCAACAAATTTAATTTTGGATATAATTTTTTCTCAATTACTAAATGGCAAGATAACACCTTGTATTTAAAATTTGAAAGATGATATGCAATACTTGAATACAATATTATTTTGTTGCACCTCTCCATCTTCTAGGATTAGCATGCATGTCAGTTTTATTATTGTAGATTCTTACAAAGGAAAAATGACTACTGTATTAAAGATTATACAACTGGTCATACGTCTACTAAAGAGTAAACAACAGATCAGATACATTACATTGCAATATCAACTCACTGAAAAGTAATTATTAAAGCCAATAAAGAAAGTAATGTATCTAATTCACTACTTGTTATTTAAAAACATTTTTTTAAATCAGAACTATTTCACAATTGAATTATGTGAATGTGACTAAAAAATAAACACATAATATCTCATGGGATACAAAAAAGAGCTGACTACACAGAATCAGCAGGAACGTAAGAAGAAAGAGAACAAGAATAAGATGGCGGTACTCTCTTTAGATTCAGAGGAAGATGAGACTGAGAAAACCACTACTTCATTAATCAAGGAAATTTCGGTCAAATGGATGGATGTCAAAATATTTGCAGGGAAATACTATCCCAGCAAGCCATAATAGCATTTTTTGGAATGACCAAACAATGCCAGATATCTGAAATATCCTGAAAAGACTGCAGAATCAAAGTTCTTTTAACTGACTTTTAGACAAGATCAGATCTGGCGATCCACAGCCAGGTCTATACAGGAACCTGACAGAAGAAAAGAGATAAATAAATTTAGTAAATTTTAATTTAAATGGGAGTGTATATTTCACCCACAGCATTTGCATTATTGCATTAAACAGTGTTACAATAACAAAAGATTTTTTTTTAACAAGAATAGCTTAATTATTTTCCTTCTATTTCTCAGTGAAAAAATTCTTTTGGTATACATCCAATTTTGTATAAGTTCAAAGACCTGGAATGAAACAATGACTTATAATGAGGTATCACTGCATTTATATGGCAACTAAGATATGTACGTAGCACAGAAGTATTTGAGTACATGTGGATTTCCACTTTAAAAATTTAGCAATTATTTTACTAATTAATATTTATTTTTACACTGAATATATTTATTTTTGTCAAAACAAATCATAATGGAACAGTAGAGTTTGCCCTCTTTTATTTTCATTAAGCTGGAGTGTGATGTTGGAGAACAGGTTGAAGTTTCATTTATTCTTGAACAACTAATGGTTAGAGTGTAGTGCTAAATTTGTGATTTTTTCTCTCTCTCTTTTTTTCTTTCTTTTTTTCAAAAGCAGATTACTGCATACATAATAAAAACAACAGCACAAAAACAAGAAATGTACATGCTTTGTATGGAAAAAAGAAAAACATGAAAAAAGTAGGTGGCGTTGAATACATCATTGAAACATGTAAAGCTATTCAAACAAATAACTTTTCTCCAAACTCGGCAACAAGTCTGAAACTTTTGGTGGGGCTGGGATAACCAGAAAGTACAAAAAGTAAATAAAATATCTTACCTGAAAAGGGATATTTACTATAAAATCTTCACCTGACTTAGCAAAAACAGATAAAGCAGAATTTTCAATAATACACACTCCAGACAGGACATCACTTTCTAAAAGAGCAAAATAAAAGATAGAATAAATTAAATATATGCTATGAATACTGCAAATGACAACAAACATTTTAACATTCCAAAGCAATGGCTAAAGTAATTTTTTTCAGTATAATTTTATATTACCCAATTATTAAAAATTTATAACTAAAATAGAAATGATGAAACAATATGAAATCAATATTCATAAGATGAAATACACTTATAAGAGAAAAGAAGGTAATGTGAAACTAGATAATAAATTATAAACCATCTAAAGGATGGTAAATATATATGGTAATATCATGGTAAATGTATATTTTTTATGCACAGCAATAAAAATTCAAGACAATAATTCTCAGAAATATATTAAAACCACACAAAAATGTTAGTTATCTAAAATGTCCAATATAAAAAAACTCCAGTTCAAGAACTAATTATATAGAGTAGAACTTGTGATAACAAACAACTTGCTTCGTGAATATTTCAGTTCATGAAAAAAAATTATCTGAAAATAAAACACATTTGATTATGAACAATATCTGAAATTATGAACACTCACGTTGTGTAGCTAAAATTTAAGTGGTTCTAATTAATTAACACTATATTAAATATCACATATCTATTATTCAAAATGTAATTTAACAGTTATTCTAAATTTAGACTACACAATGCTAATTTTATTTAATCAAAGAATTAATTGTTCAATTTTATTAATTGGGGTTTTGTAAGCTAAGTTAAACTCTGTTTCTCACTTACTCTCATCAAGTAGTGCAAATGAGACGTTAGCATCTGGCCGAATTTCTGTGTAATAGTGTGGTTTAACAGTACTTAATATTAATACTTGCATTTGAAACTTATACTAAAGAAGAAAAAAATTATTCTTCTAACAAGTCTACTTTCATTCAGATAGGTTTAATAGAATTAGAGTTAAGCCCGATTAATTATTTAAATTCTGTAATCCAGTTAAAAATTTTTCTCATTGTTGAATTAGTCACTTTGGATGGTGTACGGTAGTAGAAGTAGCAAGGTCACTTTCAATTTCCTATCCTAAGAAGTGAATTTGCATGGGATGGGGGTTGCTGCATTCTGATAGTCACTTGGCGAGTAAGGGGGAGGATTAAAGCGTGAACTTTGATTGAACTACCGAGGAAAAAAGTGGAATTTTTTGTACTGTTTATTTATTGGCATTTTTTAGTAGGGTTTCTTCCCAAATTGGGGAATTTTTAGGAATGTGGGGGCCGTTTGGATCAAAAATCGGTTGCAGCCCTCCGTTCACTCTCTTTCTCCAGTTTTTCCTGTGTAACTTTGTAGTAGAGAAGAAGGGCAGATTTTTGCTCCCTCAGGCATTAGCATGAAAATGCTTGATTTTACTTACTTGAATTTCTGCAATAACAGATTGGTGTAAGATCTACAAAAGTTTTTCCTAGTCAAGATAGACGTGCAGTTTTTTTAGCATTTCAAAGATGCAATGTTTCTTCCAGGCTGAGGGCATCCTCCATGGCCCATTGCAATGGCTTCCTTCGTCCGAACATCTTTTACAACTGTTGTTTTGACAGTTCTTCACTGGTATACGCAACCTACTGTTTCCTGCTATAAAGGGATGATGGCCCCTGGATAATAATATTCAAGTGGTTCACAAAGCCTTTTCTCTGACATATTGTATTCAGGACTTAGTTCACATTTTGTTCTTGTTTAAATTCTACACCTGGTGTCAGATGACGAGAGTCACCATTTCAACAATTACAGAGCCTGCTGTGCAGTTTGACTTTTTAAAAAGAAAAGAAATTCCAGACTTCTCCGGGTCCATCTGCCCTAATGCTGCTGTGATTGCTGCTATCCATTTGAATGACTTTGGCAATTGTTTTCCCCATCCTTTTCATCGGTACCTTCTCTTCGGCTCCCAGTCACACAGGCAGGGTAAAGTGCAGCAGTGTCTGGATTTCAGTATTAAAACAGACAATAAATTCTTTCTTACTAATCTGGGTTAATGTGCAACTATAAAACTTCAATTTCATTCTTTTCAATTCATTCAAAATGGGAGTTAAAATATTCAGGTGCCGGAATGAATTTTTATTCTCTAAATTAATTGCAGTAGTGTGGAAGAAAAATCATATTTTGGGATCCCAGTTTCTGATGCGTTACTGCATCCCCGGCTTAGTCCAATATTTTCTTTAGGTTGGAGATGCTTGGAAAAATGAAGTTATTGCTTAATAGTTAAACATACATTATTAAATTGTTTATTTTAAATCTTCTGTACATGTTATTTGATATTTCAGCAATATTTGGTGATCGATATTAGTGCAATTGTCGAAAAGATAAAACATATTGTCTCTACTTAATTAACTGAACTGGCAGAGGTTGGTTTGTTTCCTCCAAATTAAGTTTTTGGTCTTGTACGAAAGCAGAAGCTTCAGTGCAATAACAGAGTTTATATATATATATGATCCAGTTATCTTAAAAGAATTTTTTTTATATTAAATACATTTGTAATAGTTTAGCAACTGAATATTATTATGAATTTCCATTTAGTTTCCAAATGTGAATATTATGTTGTCTAAGATCATTGATTACTATTAAGGGTTCTAATCAATTATGTTATTCTCACTTCCCGGGAGAGTGTAGAATTGCCTTAGCTTATTACAATACCACACTGTAATACCCACACTTACTTAAAGAAAAAAATAAATTCTAGAGGTTTTAAAAGGTCTTGGTTGATTCTATGCTTATCATTTTTATTTAAGTTTGATCATGACTTAGTTGCATCCCGAGGTTGTTCTAAAAATCCCACATTAACACAACGTAAAGGTAAAAACTTCAAGTATTGTGTCATTGTGGTTATTTATAACTCAGTAATACATTCATGCCCACAGTTGCAAGGTATCCTTGTTTTCTTAAGGTTACTGTTGAGTCGGTTTATTGTACCACCTGTTACTTAATTTTGTTTGTAACTGACACACCATCTTTTCTAACACTCAGTTTGGCAACATATAATTTCCAAAGGTGCCTTGATATAATCTCCGACACAGAATTAGAACTTGGGGATTTCTGAAGCATCATTTTAATATTTTCCATTGCTTGACCCCCATTAACCTCTTCAATCCCAGGATAGCATAGATACACTTTAGTTTCCCTCCATGGGCACACTGTATCATATGTGATAGAGTGAAGCATCACTGGTGGCTCACTGCATTATACAGTACAAAGTCTTTAATCTGGACGTCCATAATCCGGAATGATCTATAATCCGGACCTCAAAGCTACAAAATTTCTGCGCATGCATTTATAACGGACGGCATAAGATAGGCTAAAATTATCTAATTATCTATTTCAGTTAATGTTGCAGATTGCGTTGTTCCTTAATCTTCTAATTGGATCTGGCTTATTATTTTTTACAGACTGTTAGAGCAATTTTATACAAAGTAAGCTTGAACTTTCGATTATGTCAAAAAGAGTTTCTGATTCTGGAGCTGCCAAAGGATCTACAAAGCGAAAGCATGTTTTGACGTCCATCAAGCAAAAAGTGGAATTGCTGCAAAAAATGGATAAAGGCATATCCTTCATTTCTCTAACCATTCCAAAATCTGTTTATCAATTTCACACTGCTCTGCGGGGGGGGGGGGGGAAACGTCTCAGCACACAATGAACTGGAAGTTGATCTGTCAGCACTATCCTCATCTTCAGGGCAGATGTTTTTATTTTATTTGGCTTACAATTCCTTACTAAATGTAGTATTTCATCTCGATGCACTCCGTCTTTGATCTGATTTAAATCAAATTCCTCATCATTATAAATATCACAAATACACATCAAATAGTTTTCTGGTTGCAATTTTCTAATTTCGACTATGCGTAATATATGCTTTAAGCATGTGCACATTGAAAGAAATGTTTAATAAAGTAAAAAAATAAATATTAAGCTTTTTTTTTTGGTAAATTTTGATACCCTTTAGATCATAATTGCTTTTTATTTCATAAATTACGGTTTCATATTTTTAATTTTATAACTTCTGCATGCCATCTTACCAGATTTAAATTGATGATCTGTAATCCGGAAAAACCCCTAATCCGGAATTGCCAAAGTCCCGACGAGTCCGGATTAAAGACTTTACTGTATTTGATATGCTAAAATAGAACATTTTATTTCACTTTTTAAATATGCATCAGAATACTGCAAACTGCAATGAATGGAATGTCTAGAATATGTTAGCCTTATTTTTATGAACATTATTTTATTCTAAAAATTAAATTACTCAATGCTTACAATAAGCACTCAGAATTTAGATATATTTCATACATCGTGTAAATGCAGCAACAGGATGTAATAAAAAATAATATTTCGATTCTTAAGCTTTTTACTTCATTAGTGTACAGAAATAGTTTAAACATGTAAACATTACTACAAGCATTACACATTGACTTAAACATTACTACAAGCATTACACTTTCCAATTTTTATTTTTATGATAAGTTTAGGATTTTCTGTTTATATTATAAGGAATAGCACTCACGTAATATATGCAAGAATCAAAATATTTCAATAAAAAGCAGATATTATAGGAATCATTTTTTAATTTTTCGGCTGAATAGCAAAATGCGCTTAGGCACAGTATGACATTCAACGTTCCAAAGTAACAGGTATTTCATTTTCTTGACTTTGAGAGGAAAGTGGTTAACAAAGCCTGGAAGCAAGTAATTTACAGGAGCATAAATTCAGATTTAAGAAAATTATGGCCTGATTAAGTTGCATACAGAGGCTTTCAGCACTTTTGAGACTTTTTTTTTTTTTTTTTTTTTTTTTTTTTTGTTCTTGTTGTTGTTTTGTTACCTATGATATTGTGTCTCTATACAAAAGGATAGACTAGGAAGTTCACAATAAAGATGTGAAGTAATGAGAAGACCATAAAACTGAACAAGAAACAACTACAGCAATTTCAGATATAGCAACAAAAGACTATCGTTGAAGAAATGATTTCAGAAGAAAAAAAACTTTCCTTGTTCTCTGATGCATTAAATTTGTGT